TCCTGTGGTTGCCCCCTGCTGAAAGCCCAGCCTGCTTGAGCTGACCCTGAGGCCCCTGGAGAACACCCACTCTTGTCCTGTCTGGCCTCTGGCACCTGTGCCTCCTCTCCATGGACTTGGCCTCTTCTGTACCCAGGAGAGGCTGCCACCTCTCCTGGTCACCATGCTGCGTCAGAGTCCCAAGGCCAGTGACAACACACACCAAATGGCTCCACACAACAGAAACCCCCCTGGAGCCAGAAGGCCAGCTCTCAGAGTGGGCAGGACCCCTTCTGGTAGACCTGGTGTCTCTGGCTTGTGGCCTGCACCGTTCTGGCTTCTTGTATTCCTAGAAAGAACCCCTGAGGCAGGTGATGTAAGAGCAGTGACAAAAGAGCAAAATGCCTTTCTCACGGTACTGGAGGCTGGAAGCCCGGAGCAGGGTGCCACAAGGTTGCTGCCTGCTTCAGGGTGGCTCTCTTCAGGATGCCCATGCTGCTGCATCCCTCGGCAATGAGCATCCTCCCACGGCTGGAGGCAGGAGGTGCTCAGTGGGGCCCTATGTGTTGGGCAGGGGACAGCAGCCTTTGTAGGGCTCCAGTCCCCGAAGCAGGTAGGCATCTCCATGGGGCTATGAAGTCCAAGGGGACTCTGCCACCTCCCAGGGGACTCAGAAGCTTGGCTACAGGACACCCACGCCCACACCAGGGACACTGTCGGCCTGAGCAGGCCAGGCACATGGCAGCTCCGGCCTGAGGAGCCGTGGTGATGGACCAGTCAGCACCCCCACTGCCATTGCTCCCAGGTCCTGGGGTAGGAAGTGTGGACCTATGCAAGCAGTGCTCGCTCCACCTTGCCCTCCCCCTGCCTGGGCACAGGAGCCAGCATGGGGTTTGGTTTCGTTCTTGGGTCACTGTGAAGGGCAGCAGCCCGGCTTTGCGGACCTGTCTAGGCCAGTGGCCCGAGCCAACTCGCAGGCTGGGCAGCCCAGTTACGCATGCAAGGCTGTTGGAGCCAGGTCTGGTCTTCTGGGACTCGCTCTGTGCCCAAGAGACACACAGCAGAAAATGCCAGTTTTGTGCCAGCCTGGGGAGCTCTCCCTGCCTGGGACGAGTGGCACTCACGTCAAGTGTCCAGGGAGGAGCGGGCAAGTGGCCGTGTCATGATGAAAATAAACAATGGCCAAAGGGCTGTGCTGTGCTCGAGTGGGCTGAGCTGGAGAGCCCCTTGGTCAGGGCAGTGCAGCCTGGTGTTGGGGCTCTGAGCCGCCTCTGTCCCCGTCAGAGCCTGGGCTCAGGGCCTCCCTGTTTGTCCCTGGGTCTCTGATCCCGGGGGTACAGATGTGAGGGGAGGGCTCTGGGGACACTGTCCAATTCTTCTCCTTGGTGCGCATTTCTCTCCCAGCCTCCAGGGTGCTGTGGTCTCCCCAGCTGGTGAGGGCCTTGGAACCCAGCAGCTCAGCCAGTGGTCACAGGAGACTTCTGCTAGGCCAGGCATCCCTTGGGGGGTCTGTGGCTCTGTGCCTGGATTTATTTGGGGGCAGTTTTCTCTGTGCTTCCCCACCCAGCCCATCACCATCAGCTTCCTGGGACCAGGCTGACTTGAAGCCGGGCACTTGAGAGAGGGCAGTCCCTGGGCTGCCAACCAGGGTCGTGTGTTAGGAGGGTCAGGAGAGGCGCCCCCTCCCTCTTCCTTTCCTCAACCCAGCATCCCGAGGCTCCAGCCACGGCTGACTTACTGCCCTTTGGAGCAGTGTCAACCCCGGCTGTGGGTTTCCCAGCTTCCTGCAGGCAGCGTGGCCCTGAATCAAGTGCCTCTGATACAGGTGCAGTGTTACTGGTTGTCCTTGCACAGTCCAGGTGCAGGGGGCAGGGTCCAGGGACTTGAAGGGGCTGGGGCTACTAGCCTTGTCCAGAGCTCCTCATTGTCCCCAAAGCCTGCTGAGGAGCCTGAGGTGGACAGGTGAGGACTGGCCCACCTGCTGGGTGGGCTCCCAGAAGCTCCCTGCCACCAACTCCCAGAGCCCTTACCCAGAAGGGCCCGGCCAGCAGAAGCAGGTGGTGATGACAGGGACCCCTCCACTTGATGCCATGGTGGTCGGCGAAGCAACAACACCCTGATGCGTCTGGCCACAGTGCAGGGCCTGGCAATACCTCCAGCACCTCGAGGAGGGGCAGCTCCACCCTGGCCCTCCAGGTCGCAAATCCCAGCCTCCCCCTCTTCAGGCAGGATTCTCCTGGGCACTGTCTGGCTCCTGCCATGCACAGACAGGAGGGCCTCGGGGCACCTACCCCCTCAGAAGGTCTAGGGCTGGGATGCGCACACACCTTCCAATGTCCCCAACCTGGCTGTTTCTCAATGGACAGTTTGCCTTTAGGTTCCTGGTAGGCAGCTGATACAATCACAGAGCACCCTCTCTGCCAAGACGTTTGAGAGCTGGAATTACCCGGCACCTGCGGGAGAGAGGGGTCTGACTAGAGATGTCTGTCTAATGTGGGCTCCTCCAGTGCAGGCCTCAAGGTGGGCTGAGGTTTGGGACAGCCCCCAGCTGGTCTGGTCCAGCACTGCCCAGGCATCCTCGGACACAGGGACGGAGGTTCCTGGGGAGGGTGGGCAGAGCCCTCGGGTCCTGCAGCCCAGGGCAGGGGTGGCGGCCTGTGGTGTGGCAGGGTCTCCACCTTCATGTAGCCTCCTCTGCCCACCTTGACTACAGTGCTCCAGCCCAGCCCGAGTGGGCAGAGCGGGGGCATGATAGTGAGAGGAGAGGGCATGAGGACCCTGGTAAGGACCCCTGTAGGCCAGGGCAGAGGGGCGGCAGTAGGTGTCAGAAAAAGGCAGAGGCACTGGATGGCAGGGAAAGCAAGACCTTAACCACCTCCATGCTGAGGGCACATAGCACCCTGTCTCAGGAAGCCACCTGATCACAAGCACCTGGTCCTGGTCAGGGACACCTGGTCCTAGTTACAAGGCACCCAGTCCCAGTTGTGGCGGAGCCAGTCCCAGTCAGGAGCACCTGGCCCCAGGCAGGGGGTACCTAGTCACAGTCACCTGGTCATAGTCATAGGCCTCTGCCTTCCCTGGACACCTGCCTGCTCACAGGCACCTGGCCCTGCTGTGGAGAGGGACACCTCCCTGACACCCCAACTTCCAGGCCTCCTGGAGTGGCATGCACTGAGGTCATTGGCAGCTGATGCCCTGGCCTCGAGGGGGGTCTGTCCTCTTCCAATTTTGCTTCATAAAGTTTTTCTCTAAGTTTTGCTTCAGCATTTTTTTTTTTCTGAAAATTGGGGTCTGTTTGGAGCAGGACGGCCTTGAGGAAATGTGGCCTGTGAGAGAGCCTGCTTGGCGGGGGGGTCCTCAGAGCCTTCTCTCCTATGAGTGGCTGTAATTCCACCTGCCCTGGCCTCCTCTGCCCTCCTCTGCAGATGCCAATCTGGTAACTCAGCCTTTCCCGCACCCAGTGGATCAGTTACCTGCGTCCCTGTGTCCTCCTCTTTACCCAAGGGAAAGTGGCCTTGCTGAGCCACTGAGCCCTGGCCTGGGCTGATGCTGGCACTGTCCTCTCCATGTCACCTGCTCTCCTTTGCTGCCATGAGGACAGTGGTGGGGGCTGGGCAGGAAGGGGTCTGCCAGCAGGTGGGCTGGTGGAGGCCAGGAAGGGGGTGCACACTGGGCACAAGGCCCAGCACAACCTTGCTGCTTGGGGACCCCTGAAATCACAGGCTAAAAGTAGAGGGGTTTGGGTGCATTGCTCAGGGCCAGGGTACACTCTTGGGGAGCAGAGCCTGGTGGGGGTGGTATGGCCTGCCTGGGGGAGTGGGCCGCAGGGTGGAGTTGGGGAAGGAGGGTGGCAGGGCTGTTCACCTCGGCATCCTCTTCCACACCCTCTAAATTCAGCTCATGCCTTTGACTTGCCTGGTGTCGTGTCACCTGCACCTCATGCTCAGTCCTCAGGCGCCAGGGTGTGGCCGAGGCGCCCTGGTCATCCCTGTGGGATGCTGGCTGCCTGGCCCCATGGTGCTCTGGCTTTCTGTCCTCCTCTGCCCTGGTCTGGTCTTGTCACAGGCTGACCTCCGCGTGTGCCCACTGATCTGGGAAGGCCCACGTGTGGGGACCTGGCCCTGGGGACCCTGCCTGGTGGTGGAGCCTCCTCTGGGTGGCTCTGGCTGTTCTGCAGACTTGGCAGCATCGCAGGTTCAGCAGGAGCCGTGGCCCCTGGTCCCTTGATGATGGAGGTCCTGCTTTGACCACTCTGAGGCTGAACAGGAAGGGGTTCTGTGACTCTCTGAGTTGGAAGGCAGGCATGGCACCTCCCCCCACAGACCTCTGTGTGTGCCCATGTCAGGAGCCCCTTCCTTGGGCAGGTGCTGGCCAAGGCCTAACCTCCTGGTGCCCATGGTGGAGATGTCTATGTGCCCCGGAGTTCCTGAGCCCTCTGGGGGCACTCAGCCCCAGGGGATGTCCACCTGTGTTGTGATTGCCAACTTGCTCAGTCCAGAGCACTGGGACTCTCCCTGAGGCCTGACACACGGGTCACCTCTCCAGGCCTGGAGAACCACATGTACCAGGTTTCTGGGTGCGCTCTTCCATATCCCCAGGGCCACCCCTCCCCTCCCTGACCGTGGCTTGGCCCTGAGGGTGGTAGCAGATGTCACATGGCTGGATGGACGCTGTTGGAGAGGTGGGCAAGATTTCACAAACCCCAGTGGCCCCCAAAGCAGCGGCGTACTATCGCACTCCCAGGGGAGACCACCAGACTGAGGCTGGTGAGGACGTGGTCCCCAGCCTGGAGCCCCTGGGCTGCCGCTGGCAGGTCCTGGTGCTGAACCCAGCAGCAGAATGACATTGCCTCCTGGGCACTTGGCTTCCAGGGGTCCTGGATTGTGCTGAGTCCTGCCTGTCCCCAACTGGCCACACCCAGGCACTTGCTGCCACCTGCAACATGAGTTTCCCCTCCTGTAGGTGGCTGGCTAGGGACAGGGACTGGGAGAAGCTGAGTGACTTTCTCTTCTCCTCCGCAGCAACATGGCTGATGGCAAGGCTAAGCCTGCCAAAGCCGCCAACAGGACTCCCCCAAAGTCCCCAGGGGATCCTGCAAGGGACAAGGCAGCCAAGAGGCTGTCACAGGAATCAGAGGGTGCCAGCGAGGGAGCTGCCGCCGCCCCGGAGCTCAGCGCCCTGGAGGAGGCCTTCCGGCGGTTCGCGGTACATGGGGACACGCGTGCCACTGGCCGGGAGATGCATGGCAAGAACTGGTCGAAGCTGTGCCGGGATTGCCACGTGATCGACGGGAAGAGTGTGACTGTCACCGACGTGGACATCGTCTTCAGCAAGATCAAGTGAGTGGTATGCGACTCGGGGGCCACAGAGGGAGCCCAGCGCACATTTCAGCTCTGCCTTCAGGTCAATGCTGGGAGCAGGGCTCCTGGAGCCTCTACGCCAGGGCTGTGTGCCGAGCTGCAGGCAGGCTCAGCCCTGGGTGTAGCGCTGGGGTCTGGCCATGGGGCAGCACTGAGCCCACTCGCGGGTCAGCAAGCAGTTCCTGGGCCTGAGTGGGGATGGCTCTGCCAGGGAGCCCCACCATGTGGCAGAGGTGGCTTGGGGACCCCAGCCCTGCCCCTGTCGCCTCTCCCCTCTCAGCTTTGGACTTCAAACAACAGCACAAAGAGCGAGCAGCCCCCGACATACCGCAGCCTCTGCCATCGTGGCCTTGTGCCACGATGTGCTCACACTGCTTCCTCTGTGTGAGCACACCTGTGTCCCTGGGGCGTGGCGGTGTGCAAGTGTGTGTCCCTTGGTTGTGTGTGTGTGTGCGTGTGTACGTGTCCAAGTCAGGAGTGTGTGCATGTGTATGTGTCCCTGGGTCATGGGTACATTTTGCGTGTGTGTAGTGGGCAGACATGCATGCGTGCGTGTGTGGCCCTGCATCACGGGCTCATGTGTACCTGCCTTTTTCCCTGCACACTGGGAAGCGTGTTGAGCCCTCACCCTTGTCACATTTCCTTGGGCTTCCCTGAGCTCCAGGACATCCTCTACCTGTCACAACCATCAACCCTGGGAAAAGTAATCATTCCCCAGGCCACTGCCCAGGGCTGTCCAGGTCCGCTGTGTGGAAGTGGCTCCACTTCAACCTGGTTCTGCTGGTGGCCACTGCTGGTGTGCCCCTGTGACTGCTGCCTTCCCTCCCAGTGGCCGTGACCTTCTCAAGGACTGGGCTGTCAGTCAGACCCTGTCTCCTGCCAGGCCTCACTCTCCATAGGCATCACCTCCTCTTCCAGCTGTGATGCATGACGTGGTCTTTGTGGCTTCCTCTTAACACTTTGCTGGGGGAAAGTTGGGTCTCCCAGGTGTGGTGAGGCCTTCTTGCCCATAGGTCACAGGTTGCTGTCAGGAGGCACAGGGGCAGCTGGGCAGGTGGGGTGGCCGAGCTGGGTGAGGGTGACTCAAGAGTGGATGTTGTGCTGGATGGGCTAAGCACTGCCCAGACAGGTCCCAGTGGTGGTACTCTCTAGGGGCTGTGTGGCGTGTCTGAGCCAGAATGTCCCCTTTGATGACCTGGAAGGCTGGCCCCTATGAGCAGCTGGAGGGGACTCCGTGAGGAAGCCGTGGGGACAGACCAGCCTTGCTCTGTTCCGAGCCATCACTGACTTCTTGTGCCGTCTGGTGCGGTTCAGCTGCTTGGAGATAGAGTGTGGCTCCAGGCTCAGGGTGTGTGGCCCTTTCCCCCTTCTGCCATGGCCAGCGTCCCTCTGCCCCTGAGGCCTGGGAGCCTTTGTAGGCACCAGCCGTGTTGGGGAAGGGTTGCTTGGGGACCCCGTGCCCTCTGAGGTGTGGCCCTGGGCTCCCAGCTCAGTGGTGGTGAGCCTGTGGCACGAGTGCGGCCACTGGCTGTTGTCACCGACAGCTCTAAGAGGTTCCCATCGCTGTCCAAGCCCCTCCCCTCCCCGCTTTATCCACAGCCATGCGGAGCAGAGCAGGGCAGTCCTGGGCAGCCAGGGCCTCGACACTGCCAGCAGCGGAGCCCCTTTGTGGATCGATGTGGGGGCCCAGTGCTTGCTGTCTTGAGACTCCTTGGTGACTGACACGTGACTTTGGGTCAGGCCTTCCTGTGAGCTTATGCCAAGGGGAGGCCTCCCTGGGCTCATGTCCTCAGACTTGTCACCGCGTGGGTCTGGGGAATAGACCAGCCCTGCTGTCCGTGAAATGGGTGGCCTCCAATAGCTTCTGGCCTTGCGTGTGGGCACGAGAGGATATCAGGCAGGGATGGAGGGTCCTGTGACCTGGCCTTTTTGGTGGGTTGGCCATCTGTTGGAGGGGAGTTACAGCCCGGGCCTCAATGATAGTGACTGGAGCCCCTGTGTGGTGGCTGGTGGCTTCCCAGCAGCTGGCCGTGGTGTGCAAGTGGTGAGGACACATGCTGCACTCCCTGGCCATGTCCTCATGCTGACCAGTGTCCACGCCCAGGATCAGAGAGACCCAAGGCTCTGCCCTTGGGAAAGCTTCCGGTGGAAGTGGCCTGTCCAGGGCTGGTCCCCTGGAAGGCCAGCTCCTCTGCAGCAGCACTGCCCTCCACACTGGCCTGTGTGCACATGCTGCAGGGCTTTGTTCCTGTTCCCTCCTTGTAGGGGCAGCCAGTGTGGTCCTGGTTCTCTTGGGAGATGTGCCCTGTGGGCACGAGGGCTCCACAAGTGAGTCCCACTGCAAGGGCTTTGGCTTGTAGATACCTGGGGGCTGAGATGTGGCCCACTCCCCAGTATGGAGCCTGGCTCAGGGGGTGAAGGCAGCAGAGTGGCAGCTGCAGCCTAACCAGGGCCCAGAGAGGGTTTAAGGCCATGATGTGGTCAAGGCAGCCAGGCTATGCCTTGCTGGCCTGGTGCCCAGTGGGCTGTGGGCATGTGGGGCATGTGTGTAGCTGGGCAACCTCTGATCAGGATAAGGAGTCTTCCTGTAGGACCCTGGCTCTCTCTAGGGTGGCCACCCTCTCCTCCTACACCCTTGTCCTGCCCTACCTGAACCTGGATTACTGGGTCCCTGTGACTTCCTCCCCCTAGAAGGCCCCAGCTCTGGGCAAGGCTCCCCCGACCTGGTCAAGGGGAGGGTCCCCTGACCTGGGTCCTTGTGACTCATTTCCCCCAAGGGATTCTTCTTCTGGGGAGGTCCCTTGACCCTCCAGGTATGCAGAAGCAAGAGACCCAAATGCATATCCTTGTCCCCAGGGAGAGGAGCACAGTGTCCCTGTGTAGGATCTGGAGGACTCTGACTCCAGCAAGGTCATGGGGCCCTGGGAAATGGTGATCCTTTCAGGGCCTTGGGGTCCTGCAGGAAGGGCCAGGGATGCTTGCCGCCAGGGATTTCCCTTCGATTTCTGGGAAAATGGGGGTGTGATGGCCAATGGTCTTGCATTTTGAGGAGTGGGTATCCACTGCCCCTAGAGGACCACAGGGACATCACAGAGGCCTTGCTTCCTCAGGGGCTGTGAGGAAGTCACCTAGATACTGTCAGGAAGTTGCAGATGCTGACAGGACTCGGGGAGAAAAACTCCAACTATTTCTGTTTTCGGGGCAGGTTGCCATGGCTTTGCAGGCGTGGCGCCAGCTGGGGTATCTGCAAGCCTTTGTTTAGGTCCTTGTCGCCATGGCAGCGCTTGTTTGTTTTGATGTTACTATGTGTTAAATTTTAAACAAATTTCTTGTGGCTCTGTACCAAGTTTTATGGAAGACTACTGTTAACCTGGACTGCCCCTTCTGCAGCGGCCGGATGGCCGTGCTAGACATCTGTGGGGAGCTGGGTGTGCGGCAGCCCTGAGTGGGGCCATGGAGACTGTGGGGCCACAGATGGCATGTCATGTGTGCATGTGTGGTGCCTGTGTGCACCACTGTATCCATACAGACCTGTGTGTGCGTGTGCATCTGTATGGGGCTGCGGGGAGGGGACACACAGGGGCCTGGGGGTGCTGTGTCACCCACGCCTCCTGCCTCAACCTGAAGCCACCTGGTGGGGAGGCCTTGTTGGACAGCGGCAGCCACTGGGCCCAGGTGTGACTGCTGAGCTTTGGACATCCTCTGTGGTGACTGCGCAGGTTTTCTGCCGACACCCTGCACCCTGTGGGGTCACCGGGGGTGGGCAGCCAAATGATCACAGGTTAGAAGGAAGCCATGTCGACAGCCACCAGCAGAGAGCGAGGCTGAGTGCTGACCCAGGCCTAGGCAGCTGGCAGGAGCCAAAGGGAACTGATAGTCAGGGAAACTCAGTACAGAAGCTGCTCCGGCCGATGCGGCCTTCTGCGCCTGGAGCAGAGTATTGTGGAGGTCTGCAGAGGGCTCCAGCCAACATGTGTATGGGCAGCTGTGGGAGGGCTGGTGCTGTGTGTGAGGTCAGCTGTCAGGAGGTTCCTGAAAAGCCAGGTGACAGGGACCGTGGCCAGGGCCCTGGGAGCAGTGTCCGCTCAGCCTTGCCCCACCATAACACCTGGGGCACCCTTGTGCCTTTCGGTGAGGGGCCTCAGAGCCCAGTACAGCCCCTGAGGACAGCACTGTGGCCTCCAGGATCACCCATGAAAGCTGCCCCCAGCTTTGAGTCGGAGGGACCTGGGCGCAGGCAGTGCTGTGGTCCTGTGGCTGGGAGCTTGTGGTTCTGCTTCTGCAGTGCCCTCTGGTGGCCACAGTGGCAGTGCAGGGCAGCCAGTGCTTCGGCCTGACCAGATTCCAGGGTTCTGGCCTCCACTGGGCGCCAGTCAGGCCAAGTGGAGCGTCTCGGCTGGGGATCAGGGCTGGGCCTGTAGCCTTGTGGTTCTTGTGAGTCTACAGTGACCAGGTAGAAACGGGTTCTGGTGACAGGTGTCCATCTCCTGCTCCTTGGCCTCTCTACCCATCTGCATGCAGACCCAGCCACCAGGGAGTCATGTGCATGACCTCAGGTGTGTGTCCATGGCTCACCTCTGCCCAGGCTGATGTCGGGTGGGGACAAAGGCAGCTGACCTCCAGGACACCTAGGGGAGGTGTTGATCCTGACCCTGGCACAAGGAAAATGAGACCTTAGGAAGACCTAAGGATGGGTCTGCACTCCTGGCCCAGGGAAGCAATGCTGTGGTACCAGGTGTCCCTCCATGCAGGCTGGTGACAGCTGGAAGCCAGACCTGTGGACCTTGGGTGGCCATCACAGGGCCCCTGAACAGTGCCTGGGGCCAAAGTGGGGCCATGGCTGTCACTGCGCAGCTTCTTGGCCCTGTGGACATTCCACCTGTCAGCTGTACCGAGAATCCCCCTGCTGTTTCCTGAGATGAGGACATTCTAGGACCTGCATTTCCTGTGTGCTCTGGCTGGTCTGGTTATTGAGAGGGAGCAAGGAGGTTTTGACAGGGCCCTGGACCCCCGCCCCCAGTGTCAGCTCTGTCCTGGTAGGGTCCCTTGGCTGCAGACAGGGCCCACTGGGCAGGAGGCAGAGGTGGTGACTCCAAGGGGTGACTGGCTCACTGGGCCTCCTGAAACACTGTAAGAATTCAGAGCCACAGGTCAGGGACAACAGCCTAAGGCCAGGTCAGGTACCCCAGCCCCCCAGAAGGGCTTCCCGCAAGGTGCATCCCCACCATCCTGGGGTTCATGCTTGGTGCAGTCCTGCTCTCTGCCCCTCAGGAGCCCCAGTTTTCCCCTCTGGAACCACTTGGGGGCCACTTCTGCAGGTCCAGATCTTTCCCAAGTCATCTCAATCCTCTAGTCTTTGGATGCTGGGTCCCTTTGCAAGATGCCCGTGGGAGGCCAGGTGCAGCTGTGGTGGGTGACCTTGGGCCACACCTCTGTCCTCAGGGTCTGTGCTCTGAAGCCCCTGCCAGGACGCATGTCCCCCAAAACCCAAGCAGGCACCATGCTGGCCCAAGGATGCAGGGCCTGGAGAGCAAGCCCAGGCTGAGGGAGCACCCAGTGCGAGCGAGGCCACATCCTTTGGGCCAGGCTGGAGCCCTGGGGACACCTCTGATCTCAAAGGCACTGTAGAAAGGCTTGGTGTCAGGAGAGCCTATAGCAGGTCACATGTCTCCGAGAAAAGAGAGGCATTGTCATTCTGGAACTCGCTGGGGACTGCTTTGGGCAGGAGTTTCTGTGCCCTGCATGGAGCTCTCCATGACCCAGGCCAGTACCAGGGCTCCCTCTCCCCAGCAGCACAGACATACTTGTGGGGACACAGGCTCCATGGGGACTCAGTGCTGGATGCCTGCTCTGAATGTGACCTCTGACGGGGGAGCCCCTGCCAAGGTCCCATCCCCCCTGGTGGTGCCTGGTGCAGGGGCTGCCCCGAGGGCTGGGTGTCCTGGTGGAGGGTCACCAGTCTGGCTGCTGGGCCTGGCATCCATGTTGGCCTGGGCAGGGCCAAGACTAGGAGACAAGAGGCCTTTGATGGCCCAGGACAGAGTGTCCCTGGGGGCCTTGGGTCAACACCCCACCCCAGAGCCCAGAGAGGAGGAAAAGACTGTCACTTCCAGGCACCGCTGGGCTGCAGGACCAGCTGCTCCAACAGAGAGCCACCCAGTGGCCACAGGGAGCAGCTGGTGTGTGTTGGGGCTCAGAGCCGAGAAACTGGATCCACCCTGACATCATGTGACCACGGAGCCCCTCCATCCCATCACAGATGGTTCTAGAGTATTCTAGGAGCACACGTTGTACTAGGCGGCTGAGCGACCCCATGGCCACCTGATCCAAGCGTGAGGTCTCCGTGGTCCTCCCAGGGCCTGTGGGTTTCCACAGGGGCCCATCCCCTCCATCCCGGCTTTCTTCCTGGCCCTCGCCATGGGGTGTCTGGTCAGAATGTCCCAGGTCTTCAGGACACAAGTGAATCCTCCAGCTGCTGGTGAACATGTGGGCTCCTGGGGACTGTGTGGTGGCATCTTCATGTCTGGGGTCCACTGTGCCGTTGTACATACTGGTTTGTCCTTGGGTTGCTGAGTGGTCTCACGGAACCCAGCATTTATCCAGCCATAGTTGAAGGACATGTAGGTTGTTTTCAGGCTTGATGTGAGTAAAGTCAGGACAGCATTCTTATGTGGGTTTATGTGAGTGCGTCAACCTTTATTTGTCTTGAGTAAGAACGCAGAGGTGGCGCTGCAGGGTCTTCTGAAGTACCCTGGGATGGAGCATGCGGCTCTGATCCTCGGCTCAAGTATGGCCAGTTCTTCGATGGTTCTGACCACCCTGTATCAGACAGCATGGCACCTCTGCCTCCCTCCCTTATGTCTTCTCTGGAGAGGTGAAAGTCCTGTAACTGCCTGTTGTTCACCCTGAGGTGTTTTTTTTTTAAACTGTTGAGTATTAAGAGTTCTTTGTGTATTTTAGATACATTTTATTTTTTAATCAAGTTTGTGTTTTACAAATACTTTCTCCCAGTCTGTGGCCTGCCTTGTCTTCTTCTTCATGCTGTCTGAACAGCATAGTTTGAAAATTTCGGTAAAGTTTGATTCATCCATTTTTTTCATACGGGGGTGTTTTGATAGCATTTCTAAAGAAACCTCTGCCTAACTCAAGGGCAAGCAGATTTTCTCCTAGGTGTCCTTCCATAAGTTGATGAAGGCCCCACCGCCAGGACTGGGACCTGTTCTGGGTTCATTCTGCAAGCAGGCCAGAGTGTGGAGAGAGTGTGGGCTGTGTGTGTATGCAGGGGCCCCAGCTGTCTTGCTGTTTGCTGAGACAGTCCTTTCTCTCTGGCTTGCCTCTGCACCTTTGAAGATCAGCTGGCTTCAGTGTGGAGCCGCCCTGGACACTGGGCCTCGTCAGTACTGTATTATCACTGGAGCTTTGCAGCACATCTGGGAACCCCATAGCATCAGTCCTCAAGTCACTCTGGCTGTGCCAGGTCCTCTGCTCATGGCTGGCTGCACAAGCCCTTGTGGGGGTTGTATGCAGCCAAGGCCCCGAGTAGGCCCAGGGAGTGGCCCTTCCCAGCCCTCTGCAAGGACCTCTGGTACCCCAATGCCATGCAGAGCCTCATCCACATCATCTTGTGTCAAAATACTGAAAACACATCAATGTAGATTAGCTGGGGTGGGTCCAATTCAAGTAGAAATCTTTTCTTTAAGTAAAATTACAAAGATGAAGGACAACTTCAGAGTTTTTTTTTTAAAGTGCCTGTGACCTCCAGAGGGAGGAGTCTATGCAATCCTGGGATGTGGTGGATGATGTGTAGTAGCCAGGTGCTCATAGGGCCAGCAGCTCTGCTCAGGCTGTTGCAGCTGGAAGTGACCCTGGTCCAGGGAGGGGCCTGGGGGTGCAGGTAGTGGCTAGGGGAGGCAGCCTCTCCTGATTGTGCCCTCAGGCTCCATCAGCAGCCCCAGCACATGGCTGGGCTCTTCTGGTCCCCGGGTCCAGTTGTGGTGACCCTGGGCGAGAAGGGCTCCTCTCCCACAGTTCCCTGTGTGTTCAAGTGGAGGGCAGTAGTGCCCTCCCTGTAACACGACTGTCCTGGTGTCTGGTGGCTTACGAGATCACGCTTCCTCAAAGCTCTTTCCACACAGTTTGTGGTTGCTGTTCACCCATGGCCTTTGCCTACTGCAGTCACCATGGAGCAAAGCATGGGGCAGGACACTGGCTAGGCTGTGGGTCAGTTCCCTAGGCTCGGTCATTGGCTTACGGGCCTGCCACCCACAGGGGGAAATCCTGCCGCACTATCACCTTCGAGCAGTTCCAGGAGGCACTTGAGGAGCTGGCTACAAAGCGCTTCAAGGACAAGAGCAAAGAGGAGGCCGTGCATGAGGTGCACCGGCTCATCGAGGGCCGGTCACCTATCATCTCAGGGGTCACAGTGAGTTGCGGGGGCATGGGGGGAGGGTGGGCCCTGGAGGGTAGGGTGGGGCCTGGCTGTCCTCACTGTCCCTGCCCTGGGGAGGCCACAGTCAGGTAGTACCTGGAGGTTAGCACTGCATAAACAGCGTTAGCAGCATGGGCAGAGTGGCAGCTCATATGCAGGGCTGACCTGGGTCAGGAGAGGCAGCGCCTCATCTGGACATACAGCCAAGGAGGCTCATGCCCTCATTCACTCTACCTGTCCTGGGGCAGGTGGCAGCACCCCCACCCCACCCTTGCAATGGGCTTACAGCAACACTGCCCCCCTACTCTTCTCTTGCAGAAAGCCGTGTCCTCACCCACCGTGTCACGGCTCACAGACACAACCAAGTTCACAGGCTCCCACAAGGAGCGCTTTGACCCATCGGGCAAGGGCAAGGGGAAGGCTGGCCGCGTGGACCTGGTGGACGAGTCGGGCTATGTGCCCGGCTACAAGCATGCAGGCACCTATGACCAGAAGGTGCAGGGAGCCAAGTAGCCTACACCGATGCTGTGGACACTGCAGGTGATAGCCGGGAACTCACACCCATCACACTTCATTACATTCCTGTGCTCAGCAGGCAGAACTCAGAGGAAGCTGAGGCCAGGCAACTGGGGACGACACCCAGGCCTGACACCCAGGCCTCCCACTGGAGCACCCCACACTTGTCTCAGACCTGACCCTTCCTTATGCGCCTGCAGTTTCCAAACTGTTTCCCAGGATCTCATCCCACTGGCCACCTGGCTTGCAGGTGAAAGGGATTGTGGGAGCTGGCCAAGCGTCGGACCAGTGGGCAGAGCCTGTCGGAGGCCATACTGACCCCAGCAGGCAGATGCTGTCCAGGAGCCTCTATGGCAGCAGGAGCTGATGAACTAACCAACAGCACAGATCAGACTGGGCCCATATCTGGCGCCACAGGGCCCTTTGTGCTTTCTGAACAGAGGGTTCAGCCAAGTTTCCTGGTAGCCACAGACAGCAGACTGCACAGGCACATGCTGGTGTGTGCTCTCACACACATAGTATCTGTGCCTATGGACCAGGTCCATGCCGAGGGGAAAGGGAAGGCTCCTTGTTTGACCAGGGCAGTTTTCAGTTTGCTTTTATAAGAAGTGACAAGAGATGGTGACTGCATGCCTGTTCTCAGAGCTGTCAGGGAGATTCAGAATGTCTAGCTGTTGTGACCTCCTTACTTGTCTCTGTGTCCCTGGGGGGGAGACACATGATGCTGAGTCATTTGGTGCAGGGTGGGCAGAGCTGCTCCTGCCATAACCTACACTGCTGCCTACTGAGCTCATGGGCCTCCCTCAGCCACTGCCTGGGCCCTAGGGAAGTCACAGTCCCCCCGTTTCACGCTCCCTACAGGGCAGCATTCTAGGCAGCATGCCCAGCCCAGGGAAGACGCCTATGCCCACTCACCCGCATGCACAGTGGGCCTCCGCTCATCCACCCTGCAAGGGCACCATGTGTAGCCTGCCTTCAGCACTGCACCTCCATGACGGCCAAATGGTCCTCTATCCCAAGGAGGCTGTGGTGTGGGCCACCCGTAGTCAGAGCAGCCATGGCCTCAGCTGTGATATGTGGGGCTGGGCCTGGAGAGGGTCCACATGGCCTCAGAAATTCCTCACGGGAGTTGGCCTGCCCTTAGCCAGTCTCATTCCACCCAGGGAAGGTGGCTGCTCAAGGTGAGCACCATTTTCCTGCACATGGGCCTGTCCCACAACACAGGCAGCAGCTGACCCTTCCTCACAGCCACAGCATTCAACTGCCTTCCCAAGAGTGCTTGGCCCACTGAGTGAAGCAGGGTCCTGAGGGTGCCACACCCCGCCAGAAAGGGGCTATCTGGAAAGGCCCGGCCCTGCAGGCAGGCAGTTTCCCTTGGAGGTGGGAGATCATGGTGTCTGGCATATGAGACTGAGGAGTCATGGCTCTCAAACAGATGCCAGCTTACTGGGCTGGGGAAAGACAGGCAGGCCACAGACCTCGCGCTGTGCTCCTCACTGACCAAGGCTGGGCTCCTGTGTAGAAGCTAGAGGCAAAAATAATGCATAGGAAACATTTGAGACAACTCTGAAGGTGCAGTGTTTAATCTCACAACCCCCAAAAGCCCTTGTGTTCAATGCCAGTGACCTTCATTAGTGGTCACTACGAGGGCCCCAATCTACTTCATCCCATCCCACACCCCAATGGCTCCTGCTCTCTCTGGCACTGTGGTCCTCAAGAGGCCCCATTGGCTGACATCTCTCGGTGTGAAGCTGCTGTTCTCTTCTGCCCATCCACAGCCTGATCCTCTCTGACAGCTGAGTCACACAAACCTGACCTGAATCCAGCAGGAACTCAGCTCCAGGAGCTGGGCTAATGTGCCTGGATCAGGGTGGTGTTTGGAGCCCCATGCCGTGCAACAGTTATGGATACACCCCTAGAAGCAAGATGCAGAACTTGAGGTGCAGGGCACCAACCTATCTCTTGCTCAGTGGGTTGTCATCAGGCAAGAGTGATCTCCATGTGAGCACCCAGACCACATCAAGGGCTGCTGCCTGGGAGGACAGTAGAAAGTTGAATCTAAGCAAAAGAAACAACACAAGTGCCCATCCTGAGGGCACCCACCAGCCTCATGGGGATGAGGTCCTATCAGACTGGTCACCTGGTCCTGGTGGTCAGCACCTCATAAGGCCCTCTGCCCAGAGCCGCATGGAGAAGCTGAGTGGCTGGTCCACAGGTCCTGGGTCCATCTCAGGCCCCTAAGGTGAGCTCTTTGACAGGAAAGGACCCTTCACATCTAGAGAATTTCCAGAATGTATTCCTCTCGGTTTTATGATGAAAATCAAGTTGCTGTGCTTTGGTGGCCCTCCCTGTCCTGGCCTAGAGCCTGAGTGCCCTTGGGCTCCTGGAAGGAGAGCCCCCAGTCCAGGCTCTCACCACATGGCACTCAGTGCATGAGGTGCATGTGTCAGACAGTCTCCCTTGTATCCCTTCCCTGTCCCCAACAGGTCCCAAGGTTTCCTCAGACACGTGTGGGTGAGGACGGTATCCTTCTCCAGTCAGTTTCAAAGCATAGCTTTGAAAACACATACTCCATCTCCATCACTTAGCAAGGAAGTGGTAGTAAAAATTAAATTGTGAATACTCAATGGTCACCACACTGTCAGTTTAAATTGTAGAATTCATCATGGCATCTGTGCGTATCTGCTGAACAAAGAACATCTGCGTGGGCTCCAACTGCACTATATAAAACATGCATTTCTCTCAGTCCGTGAATATTACCAACACACAGGCAAAGTGTGTGCTGCATGTTTATGTCATACCAATCAGCTTCTACTTACATGGTTCAGTAGAGATAAATGTCTATCCACAAGAGAAACTGCATAGCATGCAAACCCAAGACAAACATGTTCGCTCAAGAGGTGTCACCTGGGAGCAGGGACAGATTCTGTCAGGAGCTGACACCCCAGAGCAGGGACAGACTCTGTCAGGAGGTGACACCTGGGAGACAGGGAAAGGTTGTCAGGAGGTGACATCTCTGAGCAGGGACAGATTCTGTGGGGAGGACACCCAGGAGACACGGACAGATTACGGGGGTTGGGGGACAATGTAGATGGTGTCTAAGTATCAGGGAAGGAGGAGGATGGAGTGTTGGGGAATACTGATCCTAGCAGAATATTTTTTTAATGCTATAGTATAAGCAACTAGTTAGTGGTCAATAACATAGTTTTATGAAAAGCGAAGCTCGAATTACATGTTTAAAATATAGCAAAAACTTATATTTATACTGGAGTATTTTTACACCTTTTAATACCCTAGTCTTCTGTTTGGGGCAGGTGAGAGCCAGATATAGGTGAGTTTGGAAAGGCATGTGTGGTGGTTCCACTTGTGTTTCCTGCCCCTACCCATGCCTGTCTGCTGCCTAGCCCTGGTCCCAGTGGCTGATGGGTTGGGGTGGGCATGGGCAGCTCACTCCTCTTACCCTCAGCAGCCCTGGGCTGCTAGGGCTGCCACCTGTTTTTATGAATAAAGTTTTATTGGCACATGGCCACAGCCATAGGTTTACAATGTCCATGGCTGCCTTGGCACTGCGACTGGAACAGGGAGGGGCTGAGACAGATGCTATGGCCCAGACACCAACAGTATTTAAACCATCTTTCCCTTTATAGGGAAAACGTGCCCGCCCATCTGGCTTACTTCCTCCTACAGAATCATACATGAGCTGGCTGCTCCCTGGCCTGCAGCACACAACACCACATGGGGATACTTTGTCATCATCTGTTCAGTACAAGGGTGACAATTCAGCTGTACTGTGAAGTTACTATTATTAAGGCTACACTGTCTTTCAAACACTGAACCCCAACAACTTTCCTCCTCTGACTTACTACTGAGCACTCTGAACTCCAGTGGTTCAAGGGTGTGGCCTTGTTCGTAGGCATGTGACAGGGAGTCATGACAGGCATTTTGAAATGCTTAAGTTAACTCACTCACTCTTTTAGACCTCTTAAAAAACTCAGCCAAGCCAAACAAAGGAAACTTGCACAACTTAAACTTGAAAGGGATAATATGCTACTAGTTTGTACTAAGTTTTTTTCAAGAAAGGGAAACAAATTTATATATATATATATGCAATATATTTTTACACTGTTTTATTAATGTTAGGGAATACAGAGCGCATCACTTCAGCAGTGTGTTGGGTAACGTTGATGTACTGGGTGTTCCAACTCAGAAAGGCACTTCTGCAGGTGTCCAAACCACACTCACCAGGAACATCTATGGGGTCCAGTGGCCCCACTGTCCCTCCCACAGAGTTCGAGGCATTGTGTCACCTGTTGGACTTGCTCTCATGGCCTGGCTTGTAAACCATTAGTGAAACAGCTCGTGTCTGTTTGCATATCGTTCCTCGTGTGTTTGCTGTTAACATTGTGTGTCAAATTGGTAAAGTGATGAATAAAGATGTTAGAATGTGGATTTCTCTTTTCCTCAAAGTACAAGTACATACAGTAAGTGCTAGCAGTCATCATCTCAGGCAGTTGGGCCTTGAAACACACAGGCACAGCATATAAACAAAATAGGACCCCCAAAAGGGACAGCCAGAGGAAGGTCTGCGTTGGAGTTCAAAAAACAAGTGCCTCAGGTCACCTGCACCCCAGGGAGCTGCTGGCTTCCTGGCTTAGACAGGAGCACTACTGACCCAACCTCAGGATGGGGCTGGTGGAGGTTCAAGACTGTATCTGGCTCCAGTACAGCTCTAGGGAGGGGTCAGGTTCAAGGGCGGGATCACTCGTGAACTGTGCCACAAGTAACACAGCAGCCCAAAGACAAGTATACATCAGCAGGCTGCCAAAAAATAAAAAAATCAACGCCAATCTGAATACCAGCCCAAGGAAGTCGTTTTCCAAAAGGGGATAAAACAAAGACATTTTTAGACAATGAAAGGAGAATGTGCCACCAGTAGACATTGAAAAAATTCTAATTACAGAAAGAAAGTGACCACAAATAGAATGTTTTGACATGTGAAGAGCAAATAGACTGAACAGGCAAATAGTGACTACATAAATACTTTCTGTGAGGTTAAATATATTTCATTAAAATACTCAGAAGCAATCATATATAAGCCTGAAGAAGCAAAGGGCGCCAAGTGCTCACAGCTCCTGCATCATCTCAGAGGTGGCAAAGTGCTGCTGAGATAAGCAGGCACAACGCAGCGAGAGGAGAGAGGGCACACAGCTTCTGAGTAAGCACAGGGAAACACGCTCACAATATGAGATACAGCCTAAACCCAGCAATCCTGAAGCAGGAGAAAACTCAAAAGTAAAGCAGCAGCACACGAAACGGCAGATTTACACAAAGATACACCAACTATCCTAGCTGACAGAGCAAGAGAAAGACACACAGAACAGGAAAATTAATAAAATAATATATATTTTTAATCAGGCAAATATATTAGTAATTTCAGCATGACTAAAAAGAGAAAGAGCAGAAATTAAAATGAAAAGGTGGTGGGGACAACAGCTGTTTTTCTTAATGGGACAGATTAACTTGACAGACTTGGTGAAACTGACCAATAAGAAAGTTCAAGCATCCACTCTCAAGAACGGCAAAGGCGATGAGAACAGAAGCTGGGGCTTACTTTGCAGAGGGTTACTGGCAGGTAATGCCCATGAACCACACCAGCAGGGGATCAAAGGCAGGACAGCCACCCTCTCAAGGCACAGCAGACAAAGCTGGACCCTGGCCAGAGCTGCCTGGTTGAGCGCGTGCTCAGCTCCAAAGCTGCACACAGCAATGACACAGCATCTGCTGCCCCCTTTCCTGTATTCGCTGAAGGAAAGCAACTGTAGTCACGTGATACGCCTTCAAGGGCTAAAGCTATTAAATGCTATTAAAGAGTTTTGCCAAAAATTTTTGAAAAGTAAGACTATATAAACCAGTTACTAGAGATACATAACTGAAAACCTCAAGACATGGAAAGCCTGCACAGTCCTGTGACTTAGGGCAAATATTGCCAACCACAGTGAGAACCCTAAAACCACAGCAGCCAGACGCACACAACTTACTCTTCCGTACACAAGGTCTTTTCCAAAAGAGGAATGGGCAGCTTTCTGAGCCTGAGGTGTAGTTGCCATGGTCCCTGGGGCAGGGCAGCTGTCACAGTAGCCCCAGTTCTCTTCTGTCCGGCGCTATAGACACCCTCTCTTCCTTTCTCAGACTGTTGCTCAGGCCAAGCCACATGGCCCCAGCCTGACTCAGAGGCTGTAGAGTCTCAGAATAGGCTCTGCCCATCCTAAACAACTCGTTATGCTACCTCAATTGTCAGGAATCTCCACACAAAGGAAGTTCCAGGCACAGATGACGTCACCAGCAAGCAACACCAAATATCAGGGCTGAAATGATGGATGTTTAAAAAACATCCATGGTGAGCAAGAGGCGTGTACCCCAGCTCACTTTATGACATGGCACTGATACATGGCTGCTAAGGGTGACACCCCAAGGAAACTATAAGTTGCTGCTCCCATGAAGGCAACACATTAATGTTATTAAAGCAAGTAGTTACATAGTGCTTGTAACGTGTCAGATACTGTCCTAGAATTTCACTTAAATCTACTCAGGAAATCAGGGCTTAGTAAATTTGTGAAATGCAAAGGGTCCAGAACAGACAGACAGCTGCATGGTGGCACATGCCTGTAATCCCAGTACTTGGGAGGCTGAGGCAGGAAGATAACTGTGAGTTCGAGGCTAGCCTGGGCTACATAGTTAGCTTAAGGCCGGCCTAAACTACATAGTGAGACCACGTTTTAAAAAAAAAAACAACAAACCAGCCAGACGTCCTAATGTGGAGTGAAAGGATGTGGCCTAGAGTATAGTATTGGCAGGAAGGGAGACAGGGACCGGGTTGTGAGAGAAACTGGGTTCCTGTCTGTGAACAGGGCTAGGTTAACTGGACTTATCTGAGGAAAGCAATGCAATCAGATCCTTAAACTTCGCAGCATACACAAAAATCAATTCCAGGTAGAACATGTACAAAAATTCAAAATGAACTATAAAACTTTCTAGAAGATAACAGCAGGATATCTTCATAACTCTGAAGATACACGAAAAACAAGCTCAATGTCTTGCATGCTCCTAATAATCAACACAGAGGATTCTATGACCTCAAAACCTGGGGACTTCTCCCCACCACCAGGCAGGCAGCTCTGCAGCAGACTGCATAGGGAATCCCTGAATCACTAATCCTGTCACTGTCCCCCTGGAGGCAGTGTCAGACTGGATGGGTTGAGGGCCCATCCCCAAGAACATACCTCCATCTGCAGATGCCAGCAGCAAGGCCCAGGTGGTTTTCTCCATGTTTCTTATCAACCCACTATAATTTGGGGTTCCCCCAAACCTTTCTTTTTGGTTTGGATTAACTTGCTTAATTAAGCAGCTCACAGAACATACTTGGGAAAAGGATCATAAAGCATGTAATAAAGGGTATAAGCGAAGAGCTGAACAGGGCAATGTATGGGGAGGGCATGGGGCTCTCAGGTCTGCTCCTGACACTACCCTCCAGCAATTTCCATGTATTCAGCTCCCCAGAAGCCCCCGAGCTCTGTCCTTCTCAATTTTTGTGGAAACTTCATTATACAGACATGACTGACTATATCACTGGCCCCTGGTGATCAACTTAATGTCCAACTCTCTCCCCTCCCTGGAGGTTTCAAGGATGGTATGGCTGAAACCCTGGGATGATTCTTTGGTCTTTCCCTGAGCTACCCACGCCAACAGTGTATTCATTAGCACAGAAATGACCCTATCACTACAGAGATTCTAAGGGTTTTAGGAGACGTATGTCAGAAAGCTGGACAAAGACTAAATATGTATTTCACAGTATCACAATGACCATGAAAAGGGAGTTGGTTTTTTTTTGTTGTTGTTTTGTTTTTAAATTAGGGGCCAGGTATTTAGCTCAGTGGCACAGTGCCTGCCTAGCAAGCATGAGGTCCTGAGTTTGATTCCTGGTACCAAAGGGGGAAAAAAAGGATTCAAAATGCTTCAGTCATAAAAAAATACTGGTACACTGAACCACATTAAAGTTTGCAATTCCTCTTAAGAAACGCTACTATTAATATGTTTTCCATCTTTTATTTTTTAAAATAAAAAAAGAAACACTATTTAAAAATGAAAAGTAGCTATTTAAAAGCACACAGCTCAGAATTATAGGTTGAATGTCCCTTATCTAAAAACCCTCAGGACCAGAAGTGTTTCAGATTTCAGATTTTGGAATATTTATATAGACTTATGGGTTGAGTATCCCTAATGTAAAAATCCACTTTTTTTTCAGTGCTGGGGCTGGAACCCAAGACCTCATGCACACCAGGCAAGGGGTCTATAGCAAACTCTCAGTAGGGATGCCCAACCTACAAATAACTCCTGAAAATAAATGAAAGACAAACCTTCCAACAGAAAAATGGAAAAGTTTTAACATTCACTGGACAAAAATGAAATCCAGATGACCAATAAACACATGCAGGTGCTCAGTGTGAAGAGGCAGATTAAAACCACAAGGGTATGTATTATACACCTTCCAGAATGAAGAGGAAGCACCAAAACATGGAGCAAAAGACAGCTCAGGCACTACAAGTGTGGGTGGGCAAATGGGGGCGCTCTGTAAACAGTCTGGAATAATCCAGTATAGCCATCAAGGGCATGGCTAAGGGCTACAGTGAACAGAAGCACAAAGGAATAATGCAAAAGAACCAACTGGAATGTTAAGACTAAATACATGTAATTACTGATAATAAGAAGTCACTACACAGGCTTATATCACATGAGGGATGGAGGAGGAAAGCTAAGTGACACACAAGAACAGTGATACATCAAGACAGCAAAGGGTAGGGAAACCAAATGAGTTTAGAGACCTGGGGGCAATATCCTGGTCTAACAGAGTGTCACTGGAGATCTAAAAGGAGAGGACAGGGAGACTGGCCAGATAAGAAATCTGAAGAAACTGAGACCAAAACCTCCAAATCTGATGGAAAATATGAACTCACGGGTCCAAGAAGCTCAGTAAGACCCAAATGAGATAAACATGAAGAAATGGCACGATGATCATTGTCTACTAGATTAAAATGGATTAAAACTACAATCTTTTTAATACTTTTAAATGAACAGTCTGATGAAAAAACCCCACCCCACTGTGCTAACACTAACTTCAGTGACATGTTTTTCTGCTAAGTTAGAGAAACTGGTGCTGTTGGACACAACCGTTACAGGGACACAACCGTGACAGCAAGGAACAGAGGGAAAAAGTGAGGGAGGAATGCTCAGCTTCCATCCCCAGTGCCAGGACCCCAAGGCATGGGCAAAGCACTGCCTTCTTAGGCCTGCTCATTCTCCCTAAATCAAACTTTGTTTTAAAAAAATCACCTTGCTTTACCAATAAAAGATTACATATATAACAAGTTTCCAAACTAAAAGCCTAGTTTTCAGCCCTATTATGACATAATTTTCAGATACACACTATAAAGAATAGGCAGGGTTCCAGTAGGTATTTTAACTATGATATGTTAACAAAGGAAAACAGTATTTAAAGATATTTCTTACATCTTCTAAGTGTTACTTTTGTAAGTTTGGAACTTACTTATTCTTGCTCATCGACCATTGTGCATAGCTTGTTTTATAAAAGAATTCAATGAGAGGGGGCTGGGGATTTAGCTCAGCGGCAAAGGGCCTGCCTGGCAAGTGCAAGGTCGTGAGTTCGGTTCCCGGTACCGGAGAAAAACCAAAAAAAAAAAAGAATTCAATGAGAAACTTAAAACTGACAAAGAGCCACTTTTTCATTGAATAAGGACTGCTTACCACACAAGAAATTTTTCCTTTAATTAGCATACACAGTGCATCACATTAGGAAGGAAAGTGCCTTGCTGCCTGCATCTCAGGTATTCTGATGGCGAAGCAATCAGTATGTCTCCAAACAGGCGAAGGCTGGGCCCACCCTGTCAGTTTAGGATGCTTCAGAGAGCTGAGCTATAGACCCTGAATGTGTTTCAATGAGGAAAATGTAATTACAAACACAAAGAACAGGTCTCACCAGCAAAGAGAAGCACAAAAATGCACACAAGGGGCTATGCCAAAGGCAAGAGGAGATGCATAGCTTTGAGCAGGATCAGCACGACTGGCAGCCCCCAAAGCTGGCGCTGTGAGGCGGGAACAGGGCTGCAGTCTTCTTGAGCTCCTGGAAGCTCCAGCGCATCTGTTCCACCTCTGCCCTGTGCTGTGCCCTTTCCCGGCTCAGCTCCTGCAGGAGGTGCTCGTTGGTGCTGACCAGGGAGCTGGAAACAAGATGCGGGTAATCAATGGATTCTTCCTCATGCCTCAGTCTGCCCCTCTCTACTGCCACTGCCCACTGCCTGGCTCAAAGCGTTCTGCACAGAGCCATCCCTGAGCCCCACCCCAGTCAGAATCTCTCATCACACAGGGACATCCAGGTCCACTGTCCATGGCTTCATCGCTTCCACTACTTCCTGCTGCCTGTCTGCTCTACCCCTCCAGACAAAAGCAGGGCTGGGTCTGCCTAAGCTTCCGCCTCAGCGAGAGCAGATGAATGAGCTGAAGGAGCAAATGGGTGGATGCATGGCCCCCCTCAACATCCCACCCTACATGGCTCTTGGAGAAGAGGAGCCAGCAAAATAATACTAACTCTAGAAGGAATCCAGACAGCAGTGTTTCTAGTTCCCAACCAGAGGTAACAACATGGATGTGAAACAGTGTCATAAAGAAGTCCCCTCTCTATGCTGCTGACAACCTTCCCTGGAGAAGTAATTCCTAAATGCTACTGTGTTTTTCCCACTTTTTACCTTGCTTTCTGCTCACTGAGTCGGCAGTGACAACATTTAGGATAGCACTAGTTTAGACAATGCAGGCTACACTGACATTTGCCATTTTCACCACAAAGATGACCATACCACACACCAATCCACTGAGCAGGTACTGGACCTGCTTGCTTGGATTACAGAAATAGCTACTGGACAGAGTCAGCATGACCCTCAGAGGCCAAAGTTGGATCCCACTGCGTTTAGAAGCTCCACACGTTGCCCTGCCCATACCTGGGCCACAGCATGACCATCAAGCTGTCTGATCTGCCAGAGATGGCCAGTGGGTCCTAGGGAGGAATCGGTTTGTCACTGCCTGGCCTTGAGATGGCTGGTTTTTCTTCCTTCTGCTCCTCTCCACCCAGTCTCAGCTCAATCTCCTCTCTCTCCCTTGCCAATAACTTACATTTGTGATGAGGTCATGGGGAACTGTGGCCTGTATTAATCCTTAAAGAGCCAGCTTGGCTTGTGACCAGATGACCCCTAAATATAAGGAGGGGTGGTCGCCTCATCAAGACAAAAGGGGAGAAGGGAACGTGAGGGAAGTGAGTGAGAATGTTGCTGAGCCCGGGGAGCCTGGACTCACATGCTACATCCACAAAGCATAGCGTGATAGCCCTCCCTGCTTAGCAACTTGCTTCTCTACCCATGGCTGACTTTCTCTCCATACCCAGCCTCCACCTGCTTCCCAGAATACACCTTTCTGAATAACAGCTGAGCCTCTGCTTGGACCATCCGAACACTCCTAGTCCACTTCTTGATACCCAAACACAGCCAGAGAGTAAAGATGGGATCTCCATGTTCCTACGTGGACAGGTACAACTGCACAGGAACCATGGCCCTGGGAACTTGACACTGTACTGCACGTCATTATCACTCACATGCCCCTTACTGCTCATCTCCCCTGGCCATGTTTCCTGGTCACACTTCACACATGCTGTACCATGAAGGGCCTCACTTTTAGCCAGGAGGGGACATCACAGAAGTCCCAAGTCCACACTGTGACACATGTGGGTCTTGGATGCTAACCACTGAGACAAATGCCAGATGTACCTCTTTGCCTCTTTAGGGTGACATAGGCCAGCCCCACCCTCTCATGCCCCCACCCCTCCCCTGGCTCCTAGGCCAACCCGGTGACACCTGTGGCTCTCCTGCAGCATCTGGGTGAGCTCCTGGATCTTGTCATAGTGCTCAAGGTGCTGCTTTAGTTCTACAACCTCACCAGACAGTTGCTTGACACTTGCCTGAAGTCCTGAAGGAAAACAAGAAGTGACACTGTTTAGTGAAACTCCTTCCTATATTCTCAGCAATGCTAGTTTAAACTGGATCTGGGTCATCAGAAAAGGAACACAGCTTGGAGTGATGACCAGCATGTGCCTCCTCTACTGGATCTGCCCTTTGGAGTGTGTCTCTCCCACAGGAAACAAACTGTGCCTGAGGGGGTCTGTGGCTTGGGGATAAACATTCAGAAGCCTGTGGTGGCCACGTGTCCTGATGATTGTCCTCTGATATGGTACCTATCAATGACAGAGCACATGTTTGGTTTCCTTCCACATAGATCCTGCCTTTCTGAGTTTCCAACTCAAGAAGGAAAGAGACATATCCTAAAATCCAAACACTGGATAAACTGAAATCCACCTTTATATACATGACTGTATAACACACATCATCAGAGATGAGCTAGCTGGAGAGAGCAAGTCAAGGCAAAGAATGACCAACAAACCCAACAGCAATCGAGGGCACAATTAGTATGCTCGGGCAGGCAACATGCCTCAGGATCTGTCTATTCAAACTCCTCCTCAAGGGCAGGAACAAAAGGGATTCTGGGAAAGGGCAGTGACAGCATCTCCCAGAATCCCCACATCAGTCAAACATCAAGTAAGGAGATCAGAAACCAGAAGCGCAGGAACAAAGAGAAGTCAGGCAGTACATGGACATCAAAGAGAGGGCTGGGGAGGAAATAGGGCCTGAAAAATCCTCAAAAAGAGGCTGCCATAGTTTTGACCTATGAAGGCAGAAAAGCCATCCTGACCCTGCGTCCTTTTAGAAACTGGAACAAATGTCATATAGAACAAATAACAGAAAAGTACTGCCATAAAGTCCCACAGGCACTATAAGAGCATAAGATGCTGACAGCCAGGCCACCGGGGGGGCCCAGTCACCACTCACCATTTCAGAACGAGAAAGAACAAACAGGAATTAAAGAGCAGCCTGAGTCAGAATCAGAAAACTCAGGACAGAATTAGCAATAAAGAAAAACAGTCACACTAGAAATGAAGGGTAAGGCAGAAGAAACCCAGGCACAAGTAAATGTAAATAATGTCTTCCAGAAACAGAAAGTAAAAAGGGAAAAAAAATTACATTTACTAAACAAAAATGAATATAAAGAACTCTAAGAACTCTCACCAACCAATAAAACACCCCCATAAAAGTGGGCAAGAGGTCCAACCACAGTGCCCAAGACAGACTTGGTGGCATGCCCCATCTACGGTCCTTCCTGCTGCACAGGCCTCAGCACAAGGCAGAGCATCAGTCCTGTACACTTCCTTCTTGCCCTTTAAAGTCCCCTTTAAGAGACCTGAATAGAGGATGCACACTGCCCATCCACATGAAGTACAAACTGACCCAGAGACACTGCCATGGAAATGTACGACACCATCACCAATGGTCTGAAACCTAAATACGAAATGCACTCCTCTTAAAATGGCAAAGTAGAACCAAAGTAAGTGAAGAGCAGGAGGGCAAACTATCAGACCTTGAGGAAACAGTGATCACAGAACGGACCTCAAAGTGCCCACCTGGGGTCACGAATGCAGCCAGAGTGTGGCTCCCCCATAGCAGGGCCAGGATGCCTCCCCAGTTGCTCAGTACCACAGCCATGGAAGACACATATGAGGTTTTAAGAGCCAAAGGAAACTGTGAGTACACCCTGCTGGTCTTGGCAAGCGGTGCCTGTGTGCTCTGCCAACACGGCCCAGGCCACCAACATAAGGACCAGTGGGGCAGGGCGGCCCATCCTGCTTGGACAGCACTTGCTGCCTCCTGCTCCTGGCAAGAAGGACTTAGAAAGAAGTCTCCAGTGCACATCTGAACACTCAACTTCAACAAGCACTATGACCAAGTAAACAAACTCACCAGAGATCTGCACATTTAATGCTGCTGAAGTTTCTCCATTTTTCACTTCTTTTTTCATGTTAAACAACATAGATTTTAAGCTATTATTCTCTTCCAAAGATCTGTCTAAATGTTGTCTCAAGGTATCCTAAGGGCACAGAAAACACACTTAAATATTAAGTCAAACTCAGTAAAATATATATATTAAAAGGAATTAAACTTTTTGATGACAAGCGTTTTCTTTTTTTACATAATTCTAAATGAAATGAGAAAAGCTACCCGTGCCTGAGCAATGTGACTTCCTTCCAGAGGGAGGGGAACAGGTGTGCCAGATCCTTGAGACACACAAGGCTACCTTCCCAATGAGCCTCAGGCCTTGTTCAGGAACAGCACTGGGTGATGTGGGTCCTCCCTCTCTGAAAGCCCTCAGCCTTTGTCCAGGATGAGAGTTTCTCTTATGCCTAGAGTCTCTTGTGACAGGTGGCTATCCAAGGTGGTCCAGAGCTCCCACAGATTTGCAGTCTCATCTGCCAATCTAGGCACAGCCAGACAGCTGGCCTGGGGCTCCACACAGGGGCCCCCCTGCTTCTATAATGGAGAACCTGTGCCTTGCCAAGACTTAAGCCCTAGTTTTCAGGACGCTCTGTTTTGTTTATTTTCTACCTAGCAAGCCCACCTTTGGTGCACATATGCCTGCCGACTCTGACATTTCATGGTGAAGGTTGGTCACTGGACCCAAAAGCATTCCTGTTGGCCTACATCTTTCAATGCCCCCTGTGATGAGGCCAATACACAGGTCTTCCTTCCCTGAGCACCCTGGGGCTACACAAAAAGCTCCACGGGTGGCCATGTTTGGCTCCCAGCTCTTGACTACAGTCCAGGCTGGCGGGCACAGGTGGCAGGGGACAGATTGTGCCCAGACTGGAAGCCACATATACAAAGCTAGTATCAGAGCCTCTACCTTTACTGCTGCCTGGGCCTCTGCCTCAGGAGGTGATGCCAGCAGCCACCACACAGGCATACACACCATGGAGCCAGCACCTTCACTCAACAGGGGGCACTCGGGCTTGATGACAAGTCTACATGCCACTCAACCTTTCCAGCTATCCCTAGGTGTTGTCACCATATGGGCTCCTGACCACAGTAGCTAGCTGCTCCTTCCTATACCTGGGCCATCCAGGGGTGAACTTGGAAGACATACGAGCAGGGCTTGGTCACTTGCCCAGATAGGGAACTCTGGTCCACACCTGTCCTGGAGCTGACACTGCTCTCTCAGACAGTGCTGGTTTGCCTGCAAAGAAGGTGAGGGACCAGGCACCCATAGAGACCACATTTCTGTGCCTGAACTCTACACGGCAGCAGTGCCAAGCTGGCACGGGCTCTGTGGATCTGGATGTACTGATCCCGATCTGACAAGATTTCCAGTCTGCACCAACCTGATAGGCATCGTGGGCTATCGCCTCACTGCAGGCAGAGCTATGTCACCACATTGACATTGCCCCACACAGACTACATTCTGCCCTGGGCTGTGGTCCAGACACACTGGATTCAGCCCCTTTCCAAAGGAAGAGGCCCATAAGTGTATGCAGGGACTCATGGTGTGGGCAAGGACCACAGGCTCTCTATATCATTTCACTGTTTTTCTATTTTTTTCTCTAAAAATGAAGCTTCACATAGGATATCTCACAAAGATTCTCATAAAGGATTTAGCTGGGTATGGTAGCAGAGGCCTATAATCCCAGCACTCTGAAAGGCTGAGGCAGGAGGATCCCAAGTTTAAAACTAGCCAGGGTAACTCAGTGACTTAGTAAGACTCTCTCAAAAAAGTTTTTAAAAAGGCCTTTCAGTGTAAGGGGCTTGGGTTCAATTGCCAGTACCTCATAAATAAATAAAGGAATTATCTGTCTAGCAATTTCAGATCCTTGCCCAAGAAATCCTTTGGTGTTTTCAGCCTGTCTGAAAAATGAGGTCACTGATCCAGAGGGAAGGACAGACAGTTGCTACAGTGGTGGAAACCCCTACGTGCCCTCCTCCATAGGAGAGGACACAAGAATTAGGTCACAAAGACAGGGACTGCCATCTTGAGTACTGCCCACATCATGAGCACTCCCCTCCACTATGAGGCTTCCTGGAGGGTTACACAGTAGCCCTGTGGCAGAGGCCTCCACTCAGTGACTTTCAGGAGCCCTCCCATCTGCAGGTCCCTAATATATACCTTGAAGTGCAGTGCTGTACAACCATCAAGAGCTGACCCAGTGGGCCAGTACTTTACCTGGTGGGCCTGGCAGCAGCTCTGCAGCCCAGCTTTCACTCTAAGACATAGCCCACAGGTGTGCACGTTGACAAAAAAGAGTACCCCTAATATTTCCAAACACCACAGGACCTTCCAAGGGTCCTGTCCAGCTCTGGTTGCCCTTGGGACGCCACCTGGTGACAGATGGTTGATCAGTTCACACAGGGCAACCTGCTGCAAGCTCACTCATCAGGACTGGGGCCAAATATGATACCTTGAGCATGGCTTCCCCCAACCCCCAACCCCCAACCCCCATCTCTCCCATGAAGATCCTGTAAGAGACAGTAACCAGTGAGCAGAGCTGGGATGACCGGGGGTGTCATGCTCAATTCACTGCACCTGTGGCCTAGGTGTGTAGCAGTTAGGCAGTGCTCTTAAGGTGGCAGAGTCCTGGGTGGGGAGGCCTTCGAGGTCCTGGAAGGGAAGAAGAGGGCATGGGCAGCACCCTGAGAATAGCCAGAGGCAGTGTGGGTTTGTGAAGTCACAAGTCTACCTTCACTCCATTCCAGAACAGTCCCAGAAACAGATGGAAACAGTGCCAGGCTTACTCACCATCTCCCGCTGGGTGCTACTAAGCTCCGCTGTCACCTCACTCATGGTTGTGGTGTACTGTTGCTGCTGCTCGGCAAGCCGCATGTGCAGAGACTGATTTTCAAGGACCAGGTAGCTGACTTCTTCATCCCCAGGTGCTGTGCTCCCCTGAGCTGATGCCAACTCTTGGACAGATGACAAAACATGCTTCGCCTGGGCTAGGAGGAAAATGAACTCCATTACATACTTACCAATGAAGGATGGGCTGTAAACAAGACATGTCCAACATGTGGCTATATGCTGAGAAACACTGTGGGGCACAAGGACAAAGGCTATCAAAGCCTCGAAGTCATCTCATCCAGGCTCTCCTATATGCCATCACTGGGGGCGCGCATGTGCGCGCGCGTGTGTGTATGTGTGTGTAGAAGAACAGAAAAAGGGAAACCCTGATGTGAGGGCCACACCTTTGAGCAGCCACATCCAGAATGGTATGGGCGATGCTGGAAGCTCCATGATGGGCAGGAGCCCAGGTGATACAAACCAATCCCACTGTCACAAACAAGAGTCTGGCCCCGACACGAGGGTTAGACATGCAGGGTCAGGGGCTGCAGCTCCTTAGGGTGTCCTGAATTAGAGGAGTTGAAGGGCCACAACACTGAGTGAAGTGGACTGGGGACTCAGGGCATTGTTCAGGGTCTGCCAATGGCCAGTGAGCTCCTAGAGAACACTAGCACACAGCCCAGGATGCAGGGGAAAGAGAAGCCAGCTGCTGGGCTCTAAGTGCAAACCTGATGACAGAGGCCCTAGTGTGCTCCTGTACCAGGTCCAGTCTGCGGAAGCAGGGACCCAAACCCTTTATAGGAAGGCAATGCCCTGCTGGGCCCACAGTATTCCCCTGGGACCTATACACAACCAAACATTCACAGCAGACTCAGAGAAGACCACAGTTAGCTTCCAGCCCTCCAAACCCCCTCATGAAGACACATCACTTACAGTCTTGCACTATGGATGGCACTTTGGCATGGGCAAGTGGGAGCCCACAGCCACTGGCCTGCCTGGGGCCTGATGAAAGCCTGGCTACCCTGCTAAAGCAGAGACCACGTCACCTCTACAGAAGCATATTAATATCCAAATGCTGGGACAACTCACCTGATTCTCCAGGTCCCCAAACACATGGCAGATTAGAAGTACCTGTCAAGAGATGCTGCCAGGAAGGTGGAACCACCTTACCTCAGGACTCACCTAGGAATGCCTGGTTCCCATGCAGAGACCTGCAGCCACTCCAGTACTTATCTACCAGGTTGAGGAGCGCCTCCAGGAACACCATGTCCAGGGCAGCCCTCTCCCCTAGCGGAGCTGTCAAGTGTGATATGGATGGCTGTGATGGAGACAAAGTCATGAAACTAACTTTCAGCTCATAAGATGACCAATCACTGCAAAGATGAGATCTCTAACACCAGCACATCTGCAAGCCCAAATTCACGACTCCTGCCGTGAGGGGATCTGGCCCCAGGAGGTGTGCCTCACAGCCACCTGTGAAGCTGACAGGCTGTCAGACCACCATCTTGGGCAATGTCCAGGACACCCAAGAGCAACTCCCAACAGTGGGCTTAGAACAACCTGGATATGGTCAATGTAATACCTCCCTGGTTCTCACCTGTCCAGCTCAGGGCCAACCAGGGAAAGTGAGACATGCCCCTGACCACCCAGGAGCCCTCCCAGGAGCATCTCTAGCTCCTAGGAGGAGGACCTGTGCTCCCTGGAGCCACCATTTCTACTCAGAAGCATCTCTACTCCTCAGCCTGCCTCCAGGGTTCTACCTGACACAAGGATGGCAGCCAACCCCCTGCTCCAATGGCTCTGGGTCCATGCCTTTCTGTGCTCATCCAGGTGTCCTTTGCTCATGTTTCAAAGCCTCCAACTTCATGGCAATGTTGTCCATGGGACCTCTGGTTTCCTCTGGGGGTAAAAGAACTCAATACCTAATTGGGATGAGCCTACTGGAAAACTACTCAATACACTTCCAGGACTCCTCCACATGACAGTGTCAGTGATGGCTCCAGGTGGTCATGGTGACTGATTCCAACCTTGGAGATCAATGTAAAGAAATGAGATAAAAACACCTCTGATGTCTGGGTATGCCTCCACCCCAAACACAGAATACTACAAGAGATAAGGGTAGAGCTCAGGAGCAAATGGTAGGGAAAACTAAACTGACTAGCTGCTTCACTGTGTGGTCAGGTCAGTACTGAAAGGCACAAGGTGGCACTACAAAGACCTAATGACCATTCCACTCTACTGCTCAGTCAAGGAAAAAAGGCAAGGCACTGGCGGCTAACACCAAGGCCCCAAACTCATCACTCTGGAGTTACTCACGCTGTGAGATGTCTGCTCTTCAGCCTCTGATGCCCTGGGAAGAGAAAATGCCCTCTGGCTCGGGCCCCCTGAGCTGTCTTGCTTGCTCAAACTCTCCGTGAGGCTGTGGAGTCCACTAGCCCTCTCCAGATGGCTCAGGCACTTCTGGTTTGAAAGCATCTGGAATCTTCCACCATGCATCCTGCGCTTCCTATACCTTTCAGGAACAGGCAAAGGATTCAACACCTTTTGTGATGACAAACTTGGCTTCTGACAAGAAGAGGAAGAGTCCTCAATATCTGTGGAATCTGTGATACAGAGAAACAGAGCTACTTTAGGGAATTCTACATGTAAGTAAATATATAGAGACAGCAGGAGAAATACTACAGCTGTAGCCAACCTGTGGAAGATGCCTGCTCAGAAAGGTTCGGAGGGTGATTACCTGGGTGGGTGATGACATCAATGTGTGGGCTGTGGGCACAGCAGGCCTCAGGTTTCCCATGCTGTGGGGACAGCTCCCCACAGTGCTGGTGTGGAGGTGGCTGCTCGGGGCAGCATGTGCTGGAGCTGGCTCTCCTCTTATCATGACCCTTCCTCAAGGGGTCCCCACACTGGTGCTGGACAGATGGAGGGCTCAGCAGATGTCTGGACTCTATTTTGTTAAAAATATTTTTAAGATTTTACTTCATTAAAATTACATTTTAAGTTTTTGATAGTGTATAACATCTATAAGCATACTTCCTGTAAAATGATTAAAATGCCTAAGCGGGTTCATCATGTAGCAACCAACACTGCAGTGAATAACAGGCAGTTTTGCAGGTGGGTGGAAGAGCAGAGCTGAGGGCTGACAAAATCTGACCTCAACACTCACCAGAGAGGGACAAGATACATGGCAGACCAGGAGAAATTTACACTGGTCTGTAAAACAGAATACAGAATGAGAAGAAGCTAGCTGATTTCAAACAAGTATGCCAAGGTAATTAAATAATAAACACTCCTTCCAATGAATAGTATCAGAACAAATAGATCTGTAAGAAAGGGAGCAAGAGCATCCTGGCCCATTAACTTACACCATACATAAAAATTTGCTCCAGTGGGGAGTGGTGGCACATACCACTAATCCCAGCACTTGGGAGGCTGAGGAAGGAGGATTGCTATTCGTTTGAGGCCAGCCTGGGCTGCATAGTGAGTTCAAGGCCAGCCTATACTGCAAAGTGAGACCTTGTCTGAAAAAGCAAATCAAAACAACTACCAAAACAAACAAACAAAAACTACCTCCAAGAAATAGACTCTGTTTCCACACACTTGAAACTGCAGGATGTCTGTGAGGAAACACAGCACATCTTCTTAAGCATGAGTGGACAAAGATTTCTTTAGTGGACACAAAAAGTACAAACCATTAAAGAAAAAGAAACATCAATCTGGACTTCCCTGAAGTTAAAACATGCTCTTCAAAGTACTAACAGGAAAGTGAAAAGATGAGCCTGAGGATGGGAATAACGGTGTGGGCCAGGGATAATGCCACAGGGTAAGGATGTAACAGGATGGGACTAATGCCACACAAGGGAGGAAATGCCATGGGGGAGGAATGCCATAGGATGGGGATGCCACACAATGGGGACAATGCTGTGGTGCTGTGATAAGGACACAGAATGAGGATAAAGCCATGGGATGGGGATGACATAGGGAAGGGACAATGCCACTGGACAGGAATAGTATCACAGGATGGAGACAATACCACAGTATGTGAGAAAATCCTCAGGACATGTACAGTATCTGAGAAAGGACTTATATCCAGAAACCATAAAAAGTTATTACAGCTCAAGACCAATAGGCAAAACAGCTCCATGATATGAACTGGGCAGACTTGAACAGAAGCGCCTAGAAGATACACACATGACTGATTATTTTACAGCATTAGTCTGCAGAAAAATGCAGATTAAAACTGTCATGAGTCAGAACTAAGAATCCTGAGGACAGTCACGTTGGGAGGATGTGGCAGATGTCCTTGGGCTGCAGGCAAATCTGGGTTCTAAGCCCAAATTCATGCCTCAATGTGATGTTGCTGTTTTCATGAAAAATACCATGTACTGAAAGAAATGAAGCTAAAGCTTATGAATAATCCTAGTAAAAAGCAGAGATTCCACGTGAAGCTCCTGCCCCAAGTGTGGAGTTCACAATGCTCTTGGTGGGGTCAGAGGGCCTAACCACAGCAGTCTGATAGGAGCAGAGTGGCCACACTGCTTGTGGCTGATGCTAACGCCAGCTTCACTAGCCACCAGTCACTTGACTTTCTTCTGTACTTTAGATGTTTTACTTTTCTGGTAATCTAGACAACTGAGCAATATGATTACATTCAAATTAAATATGCTAACTTTTCCTCTCATAATTCCTCAGTCCACACTGCTGGCCATTCCAAGGCCACTCTAACTTCATGAAGGTCCTATCACTGAAGTGAGCCTTGTCAACAGCACAACTATGCACACTGGTCTTCGCTGTGGGTTCAGCAGCACACCTTGGGTGCGATGGAAGGTGGCTTCCTGCTCCTGGCTGGAGCTCGTGCTCCCAGGAGGATTGCTGAGGTCCCACTCGCATTCGGCAATGAGGTTCAGGACCGCCTCGTCATCCGCATCCATGACCAAGCACTTCTTGGCTGAAGTTTCAGCACACCTGACCCTAGAGCGGTGTGGCCTGAAAGGGAAGCAGACTACTCATCAGCGTCGCCTGTTCCATGGTGCGTCCCAGCTTGTGGTGTACCCACAGGTACATCTACACAGCTCTTGTCAGAGTAGCTTGGTGATGCTGCAGGATAATGACCCTCACCACTCTAGGTGGTGCCTGGGAGGAGGGAATGACCCAGGATGACTGGTGACCAACAGCAAGGTCATGAGATGCTACCATAACACTTCAGCACTGTATGTTCTAGACAAGGTGAACACACTCAAAGGGGTCCTTTCTGAAACAAACCCAATGCACATGCTGTGAAGACTATTCTCAGGAGGAAGTTCACATGTATGATGCTTCACTGCTGCTCTGCTTTGAGAGCCCAGTCACTGCCTTGGTTTCTGGAGAGTGTGGTCCAAAGAATGGGACCCAGGGCCTGAGTCTGGGGCTGCCCACAGACACCTGATGTCTGAGCAAAGCACAAGCACTCATGTCCATGGTCTTCTCTAGATGGTTAGCAAACTGGCCCAGGTCACCTATTCGGTCCTTAACTCTAGCCTTTGTGGCATCCCAGTCTTGGAAGTATCAAGGACAGATGACACTGACTATCTACAATGACAATATCCCCAACTAAAGCTTTCCCTCAATACTCAACTGTGGTAGGCAGACGCTGTGCCACTGAGCTATATCCCCAGCCCTCAACTGTGGTGAAAAAACTTGTCAGTGTGACATCATAAAGCATGCATTTGCTCCTTTACCCAGTCTCCTCACACACAGATCCTCAAACCCTTGGATCTCCAGGGTGACCATGTGTGCACTCTATGTGTGCACTAAGCTGCCTGATGACTGGGCTCTGATGACAGGAGCGGCCTGTCACCAAAGACTCTGGCAGGATTAGGTTAGACTTTAAACTCTGCCCAACCTAAGGTGGAAAGGGATGGCTTTCTAAAGGCAGATTGCTGGCCAGTTACTAAGTTATAAGGGCTGCTCTAGAGATTTCTTTTAGAAAAAGAATTATCATTAGCAGTACATTTCAATGGCCCAGAGTGGGTCATAAAACTTGCTTACTTGTGGGTCATATTCAACCTGTTCAACAAACTCAATCTGTCACTTTAGAGGAGAATGACTACTGTGTTCAAGTCAGCAAGTACAGTGGCTAATTTCAAAGCCATACTGGCATTATGAGGGTGATGAGTAAACACTGGGATTTTTAATGTGTTTCAAACAGCAGAGATTCTGAAACAGACTGTGCCAGGGCCTTCTTTCTCCCAGGTGGTGCATGATCACCTATCTTAACTTTCAAAAGAGTTGGAATTTCTTTACAATGGAAAAGGATCAGGTGCTTCAGATTACAAATGACACTGGCCTTAAAAGTATGTCTGAGACAACTTTAAATCTCCACATGTGCTGGATTACAGTAGAAGTAGAATACCCTGAGAATTTAAAAACAGCACTTAAAAGCCTACTTCCATTTTCAACATCCCATCTTTGTAAAGCAGGGTTTTCTGCAGTGACAGCAACCAATATAGAGATTATAGGCCTGGCTGGACATGAGCAATAAACTTTGGTATCAATGTCTCATATCAGTTCCAGGAAGGACTTTCTAGTTACAGGAAAATAAGCTCAGGGTTCCCACTGATTCTGCACTATGGTGAGCTGTATAATTATTTCATTATCTATTACAATATTCTAATAAAAGAAACAAAGTACATAATTAATGTAATGCATTTGAATAATCTGAAATCATCCCCCCACCCCTATTCCTGTTCTGTGGAAATACTGTGTTCCACGAGACCAGTCCTTGGTGTTAAAAAGGTTGGGGACCACTGGTCTTGAGGACTCAGCCCTCAACCTGTGGGATCTGACGCTAACCTCAGGTAGAGAGTCCTGCAAGAAGGTCTCTATGTAATGAGAAAGGGGTCAAGCTCCAAAAAGACCTACCACGCCTCATCATGTCTGTGCCTAACAATAAAGGGTCAAAATAAGTCTGACAAATGTGACAAACTTCAAGGATGGTGGATGAACCCACTGTCCTGGAGTCTTCCACACCACTCCATCAGAACTGGACAGAAGTCATTAGGACACAACTGTTTCATCAAACAACAGCAGAGTATACCTTCTTCTCCAGACTTCATGGAGCATCCAACAGATAGACCTCATTTGAGGCTATGAAGCACATGCTGGCAGATTTAAAAGAATAGAAATCATATAATGTATACCTCAGATTACAATGGAATTAAACTGGAAATAGTAACAGAAAGGTAAATGGAAAATTCCCAAATACTCTGAGATTAAACAACTCCCTTCTAGATAATGAGTTGAAGATGAAATCTCAAGAGAAATTTAAAAATATGAATAACTGAAAAAACACAACATATCACAATAAGGAAAAAAATCACAATCCTATCAATAAATAAAGAAAAAGCATCTGATAAAATCCAACACCTAGTTATGATAAAAAAAAAAAAAACCTGCACTAACTTAGGAGTAGAAGGGACTTCCTCAACTTGAGAAAGTTGTCTACAAAACTACAGCCCATTTCATACTTAATGACAAAAAACTAGCTTTCCTGCTAAAACCAGGGACAAGGTAAGGAGGTGCTCTCTTGCCATTGCTTTAACATTGTACAGTACGTCCTAGCTAATGCAGTAAGACAGGTAAAAGAAATAAAAGGTATACAAATTGGCAAGGAAGAAATAAAACTATTTTTGTTCATTAAATGAACGTCTAAATAAAAAAATCCCAAAGAACCTCATGGTACTAATAAGTGATTACAGCAAAGTTACAGGATACACGGTATCACTGTCATCTTGATGAGACTGAGAAACACTCAGGAAATTAGTAAAGCACACTTCTGGGTGTGTCTGAAGGTGGTTCCAGAGATGACTGGCAAGTAGGACTCAGCCTGAGTAGAGGTAGCGCCATCCAAGGGCTGCAGGCCCAGAAGAACCAAAATAGAAGAGGAACCTTAGCCAGCACGTGTTCTCCCTCTCTCTTTGCCTCTCCCTGTCTCTCTTTTCTGGGTACCATGAAGTGAGTAGCTTCCTCCATCACCTCCTTCCACCATAATGTTCAGTCTTGCCACAGGCTGAGATGCAATGAAGCCATGGCCCATGGCCTAAAACCTCTGAAACTGTGAGCCAAAATAAACCTTTCCCCCTGTAACTTCTTATTCTCAGGTATTGTCACAGCAATGAAAAGCTAACACCCACCAAAAAGATATGAAGTGAGGCAGGAGGATCGCTGCACATTCAAGTCTAGCCTAAGCTATGTAGTGAGTTGAAGGCCAGCCTGAACTACATGGTGAGACCCTATCTCCAAAAACAAAAACAAACCCAAACCCAAACCTCTCCAAAGATATGAAGTCTTTACCCTCATTACTCAGGATGTGACCCTATTTAGAAATAAGGCCTCTACAGAGTAGTCAAATTAATATGAGGTCCTTAGGGATCAAGACAGTGTGGCATTGGGGAAAACATAAACACATCAATGGAGTAAAATAGAGCCCAGAAAACTCTTTGTTTTGTTTTATTTTTTTTTTGTTTTTTTTCCGGTACCGGGAATCGAACTCACGACCTTGCGCTTGTCAGGCAGGCGCTGTGCCACTGAGCTAAATCCCCAGCCCAACCCCAGAAAACTCTTATACAGTTAACTGATATTTGACAAAGAAGCCAAGAACAATCAAAGGACAGTATAAAAATGAATCTGAACACACACTTCACAATGTTCACAAAAATAAACTCAGAATGAACCACATACCTAATTATGAAATGCAAAGTTACAAAGTTTCTAGGAGATAACACGGAACATCTAGGGGACCTTGGGGGTTGACAGTGACTTTAAAATGTTACAACCAAAGTACATCCACGAAAAGAATAATTGGTTAGCTGGACTTCATTAACATTTAACACTTCTTCTCTGTGAAACACGCTGTTACGCAAAAAAAATGACAACTCACAGACTGCAAGAAATATTTCTAAAGCATGTATCTGACAAAGGACTACATCCAAAATAAGAAGTCTTAAAACCCAACCCAATCAAAAGTGGGCAAATGATCTGAAGCATCTTCTCACCAAGGAAGATAAGCAGATGCTAATGAGCACATGAGAAGATGCTCCATAGCACACATCAGCAGGAAATGGCAGTTCAAACAACACTGAGATAAGTCCACATCCTCAGCAGAACAGCCAGTGTTCAAAACACTGACACCAACAAAGGCTGATAACGATGTGGAGTAACAGAGACTCTCATTCACCACTGATGAAACACAAGGTGGTACAGCCACTGTGGAGGACAGTGTGACAACTTCCCACAAAACTACACATATCATACTATCCAGCAATCAAGATCCTTGGTATGTGCCCAAATGAAATGACAAATTTTGTCCACATAAAAATCTGCAAACTAATGTTTAGGGCAGTTTATTTACAACTGCCATAACTAAGAAGCAACCAAGCTGTCCTTCAGCAGTTAAATGAAGGCTTATTCAGCTCATGGTTTTGGAGTATGACAGTCCACACACTGTGATGCTGGCTTCTGGTGACAGCCCCTAGGCTGTGCCACCTTATGGTGGAGGTGCACAGGAAGCCAGAGAGTGACTCAGGGCTCGGGCTCCCTTGTAACAACTCACTCTCACCCTTCCTGAGGACATGCCGCCAATGACCTGACACCTTCCTACCAGGCCTCACTTCTTAAGGCCCCATCAGTTCTTAACAGTAACACCAGTGAGGAACAAGCTTCCAAAAAAATGAAACCTTATGGGACACATATAAATTATAACTAAACCACTGCAAATTCCAACTATGGCACTCTGGAATAGAGAAAACTATAGAGATAATAAAAAGAACAGAGGTTTTGGAGGTTTGGGAGGAGGAAAGGAACAGAATAGGTGGAACACAGGAGATTTTTCAGAGCAGGGAAACTAACCTGTGAGACACTGTAAAGGTGGGTACATGACTTCATGCATTCGTCGAAGTATTAAGAGGTGGAACTATGTCACACTCATTTCTTCTGTAACCCTAAACCACTATCAAACAGAAAGCTTACTGCAAAAGACTGAGTCTATTTGTGTCCCTCTCAAATTTCTATGTGAAAGTCCTAATCTCTAGCGTGATATTAGAGGTGGACTATTAGGCGATTAATTGCTGTGTTGATAGCTGTATGTGGTATGTGGCAAGTTTTTCACTCATTCCGCACCAGAGACAGAGGAAGTCAAAGCCATGTATGCTCCAGGAGCCCCCTTCCCCTAAGGTCACTTCCTGGTGACCAATACCCCATTCCTCTCCCCTTCCTGCAATGATGAAGGAAGGCAGAGATAGTCCTTTTCCTGAGTCTTCTCTCTCTTCATGTCTAGACTGCCTCTCTGTAGGCTGAGAGCTTGACAGCTGGCTCACATGTACTCCACTAATTCTCTGCTTTTAAGATTTCCTCCATAAACCATACGTTTAGGCCAAAGCATCCTGAAAGTATGCTGATGCTCCCTGAACTGTCATGTGCACAGCAAAATGAAATAAAAACTGAGACAAGAGACACTGTGACATCCAAACAGTATCTCCACCCCAAGTCTCAAAAAGACACTCCCCACTTACCACATACCATGGTACAGTTGTCTACACAGCAATTAGCCTGGTTTGAAATGAAAGACAGAGGTGCAGGGGAGGCATTTCAGCAGATCTCAAGGATTTAGAACCATTCTTGAGACAACAAAAAAAATAAAGTGTGGCCCACAGGCCAAATCTGGCTCACTGTATGTTTTTATTGGAACACTGTCATCCCTTCCATATCATATATGGCTAGTTCCACACCACAGATTTGAGAAGCTAAGACAGATTATTTGACTCACAGAGATTAGAACATTCTTCTGGTTGTTCATAAAAAACTGGCCACCCCCTGCATTAAAGGAATTTAGGATGAGCTAAGGTATATAATACAAGAAGAAAAAAACACTGTTAAAAGCTACAGAAAAAACAAAATGGCAAACTAGAAAGAGGATAAAATTCAAACTCTTCATTCAGTAACTTTAATATGGTTTATGGAATTTTGCTCTTCAGAAGCAATCCACACAGAAAGCATAAAGGCTCTTTATGATTGTAGAGTATACTCAATACTATCAGCTTGATGACATGAAATGAAATGAAGATTCAGATGGTAGTATTTGTGGTATGGGAAGCGGGATAAGGCAGGTGTGGCAACCAGAACCCGACCAAGGACAGATTGGCCACAAAAGAGGAGAGGATGGCAAGGGCATTATCTATGACCTATTTTGGGGAGGAGCTGCCTATAAGACACCCAATCTCCATCTACGAAGGGGTTTGTACTTACTTACTTATTTATTTATTTATATTTTATTTTTATTTATTTATTTTGGGGGGGGTCTTTTTGAGACAGGGTCTTACTATGCAGTTCAGGCTGGCCTTGAGCTCACTTTGTAGCCCAGGCTGGTCTTGAACTCACAGTGATCCTCCTACCTCAGCCTCCCAAGTGCTGGGATTACAGGCACGCGCCACCATGCCTGGCCTGGAAGGAGTTTATATTTAAACACTCACATGCAGAAGCAGAATTTGGTGGTACAAGACATAAAGAAGTTACTTGAGCAGACCCTGCAAGCACAAGCAGTCACAGAAGTAAAAAGTAGCTGAGGACCAGGAGGAGGACTGCTGTTTCTCTTTGTGAGCCATCCTCACTGTTTGATTTTACACGTACCACTCTAATAACCACTTTTAAATATTAAAAGCTAACTTACAAGAAATGTGAAAAACAAGCACAGAGGGCCTGTCCTGTCTGCTGGGGCCCTAGCCATGGCAGAAACCTCCTGCCTCTGTTCCTGCAAATCTGCCCCTTAAGGGTGGCTGGCATGCACGGGTTTTTATGACTTACGGTTGGCTGTCCTGTCAACAGGCCAATTTGAAAACTGTCTGAGTGTTCAGATCACCTGTCCATACCTTCCAACTTTCAAAGCAGCTGGTAAGCTCTCCTTTGAGTCAAGTGAGTCCTCCAAAGCAAAATGCAGTCGGGAAGCCTTCCGCTCACTCTCTCTCACAAGACGATCATCTAGGGAGAAAATTCCAGAGAACTGCAGTGCCCAGCAGGTGACAGGTGCCTTACTCCTGAAGCACACTACACAGGAAGCTTCTGTACCCACAGGACTGACCTTGCACAGCGTCCCCTGTGAGCATGAGGCAGGCCCAGTCCAGGGATGCTGAGCTCCAAGGGCTGTGCTTGGTTCCCATGACAGAGATACCAAGGGCAGCACCATGAGGCTGGCCAGCTCTCTGGATGGTCACTGCTCAGACCTGCTGCAGGGGCAGGCTATTGCCTGCAGGAACAACAGCACATGTGTAAGGTGCACATACACCCACAACGTTACACACACACATCAGGTGCCAGATGAGGTTCTCATCACACAGCACATTGAAAAATCTCTGTGGTGGAGAACCCAAAACACAGTGAAAAAAGCTGTAATAGTGTGTTTGCCCTTACGGCATGCACTCCTAGGTCCAAAGAGACATGAGACATTCAACTGCCCCAAATGTAGGTAGGAGACTCAGGAGGCTTCTCCCAAAAACTCCTGAAGCCTCCTTACGCAAATAAGGATAAAAAGTTCCCCAGTTGTCAGAACTCACCATACATTTTAGCACAGACAATACTATAAATGTGGTTAAAGTCCCATGCTACCTTCCAAAGAACATTTACCCAACTGCATACCTTAAAAATTATGCAATTAGTAAGAAATGCATAAATTTAATAGTGCAACACAGTTTTCAAAGCAGAAAAACCAGAGTTCTGAAGATCACAAACCAGTGCCAGGTCAGAGGACCTGCAAACCGGGACTGCTCTTCTCTCTGCATGCAATGCCCCAGGTATGTGACACTTGCTTCCACTGCTTTCCTAAGCCCTCTTCTCGCACCCCTAGATCTAGTGTTTAGCCTTTCCCACCTCCACGAGAGTTGCAACACAGGGTGAGCATCCTCCCTGTGCTGGGGACCCAACTCTACTCTTTGCAGCTCTAAGTCCCTGACTCCAAGACTATCTCCATGAGCCACTCAGAACATCCAAAGCCAGATGTAGCTCCTGTTTCCCCAGAGCTGACCAGATTGCACCACCACCCTCACTTCCTCTGCATACCCCTCTAGGGTCTTCTAGCTATCCACCAAATGATACGGAATGCCCTTCTGAGGCACCTGGTAGCAGGGTAGATCTGGACAGATTTTTAAAATGATTTTGACTCCAATGACATTTCTTTTGTGTCTTCATGTGCAGGGAGACTCATATTCCTTTTCTATCTTGAACACTATAACCTTCTCAATTTAGCATTACTATGACAAAGAGAAAATAATGATTTAAAACTGAAGATTCTCAAAGTTACCCATAGTGACTGTAATGTTTTTTAAAAAGAGCCAAAACTAACGATTTATAAATTACTTGCTCAAATAATCAAATAAAAGTTAGAACACAAGCACTTATTCCACCCAAGTATCTTCAAACAAGGAAATTGCAAGTAGGTTTCAAACTACATAGTGTACTTCAGGCACAGAGCCCATCATTATGATCTAACAGCATTGCCAAACTCCCATGAGGCCAGTGCCACGTGCTTTGACTGAGACTGTCATCTCAACTGCACTGTAGGACGTGAGGTCTCCAGACACTATTAGCCCACAGCCTCAGCACTGTTATGTGGGCAATGAAGAGTCATTGTCTACACACAGCATATTGGTGCTGGAGTCACTGAGTGCTGCTAGGTCACTCAATGGGAGATGCAGACATCTAGCACATTTCAGCCCCTGCCAAACAATGAATGCATGCTTAGGCCTAAAGGCAGCTGGTCACTGCCACAGGGGCAGAAGACAGACTACCAATCCAATCAGATGTGTCTGCTCATCCACTCTCCACCAATCTGAGTTGCCATGCAGAATGGAACCTACTTAGCTAGGGAGGTAGTCAGAGCTTGGGTTCTTATGTTAGTTCCTCAAATCACTTTCGGATGGTTGGAAAAAAACAGCTTTGACTGAGTTATAAACAGGTGAGTTTCTGTAAACAACCAAAGTGTGGAGATGCTGGCATTCCTGCTGTTAATCTATGCTTTTATAAAAATGGGCTGAAATAACAGGTATTGGGCATTTCATGTTGACAGACAGCCTCTCCTGGCACTTCCAAAAACACCTACAAATTGCAAAAGAGCAGTTTAAAATGTTAGTACAACTCACACAAAGAAAATCACTTTATGATCAAAACATCCCAGTCCTTGCTGTGACAACACAACAGCCTAGATGGCCTGGTCCAGTGTCAGTTCAGCAACCATTTGCCAAGGCACTCAGAGGCTCCCTGGCTTACTGTCCCACCTGCAGCATGGGGTTCACAGAGTAACATCCTCCTGGGCTGTGGAAGGACTGTGCAAGGCAGTGTATGCGCCGACTTTCCCTTATAAGGCTGGCTGATGGGACGTCAACCCTGGGTTTATCTCATGCATATAAAACTAGTGCTCTCAGCCATGCCCAGCCCATGAATGTCCACACACAAGACCTAGGCATACTTAGCCAGACAAGTCTGCACATCATCAAACCATATCAGCCTCTCTGCTACTATAAGCTTAATACTGACATCTAACTCTCCATTTCCCAAAAGAACCTCATACTACCACAACTGCAGGATGCTCCCTCATGTGGGCATTTGCTGTGGGAGAAATGTTCTGCCCTCTATTGATTCTTTCATTTTCTTGATTGACCTTCTGGGTTCAAAAAAGGGTCATGTTTCCAAAAGCAACTGTAAATGGGAAGTCTGACTCCAATAATGAAAGAGGTCAAGGGACATTTACAAAGCCCTGATTCTGCCAGGTGCTATCCTGGGAGCTAACCACGTAAGCTCAGCATTCGTATTACTTACTCCACAGAGCAGAATGGAGCTCAGAGACCTCAAACCATCCCTTTTCCATGGCTTCTGGTCCATGTGCCCTCAGGTTAGGGTCCCGTTCTCTCCTCTGGAAGCATAGCATGTGGCAGCATCAGCGCAGCCAGCAATATACCACAGAGGATGAGGATGCCTACCAAGGAGGCAGGTGGGGAGGTGACCTGTGGCTGTCCCAGCTAAAGGATTCTCCCTAACTGCATATGGCTGTGGAGGCCCAGGAAGCCCCGCCTATACATCTGTGGAGGAAACCCACATCTTTTAGGAATACTTGGTGGTGAGGCCAAGGTGGTTACTGAACCTTGTTCCCTCTCATCTGTCACTTGCAGTGACATAATGAACTGTTTGAGGGAATAGTCCTTCTGCACGTTAGCATCAGATTTTGTTATGACATATGAGGGAACATTAGCCATAACAATATCTGATGCTAAAATGTAAAAGGACTATTGAATTTTCTAGAATTATATATACTTGTCATTGTGTTTATTTTTCTAGAATTGAACTATTTGGCTGTTTCAGATGGATGTAAAACCAGGGAGAATCCAGCTATCAAAATGAGTCCAAGATGACGTCTGAGAGGCATGTGAAGAAATGGCAAATTCAGAAATATGCCCAAGTCAAATGGTGCTGTGGTTCACATCTAGATGTCCCTGTTCTCGCTTCAGCAGCAAATATACATCTAGATGTCCCCTACCAAAAGCTTCACATGCTCAAAGGTGGGGCTTTTGGAAGGTGATTGGATTATGGGGGCTTATCGCTGATTTGCTACTAGGCAGTGGGGTCTAATCAGAAAAGGTGGGTCACTGGGGGTATGGTCTTCCTACTAGCTCCTCCTTTGCTCTCTCTGCTTCCCTGCCATGAGCAGCTTTCTCTCCAGCATGCTCCTGTGCCATGCTGGCCAGCGCTGGAAACAGCTAACTACCAACTGAAACCTCTACAAACTGTGAGTCAAAAGTAAATCTCTCTTCCCTTAAAATGTGGATGCCAGTGACAAGAAATTGACTAAGAGAAACAGCAAAAAGTGTAGAATTGTCTGCAAGAACAGGACAGTAGCCTGGCCCAGGACAGTGCAGCCCCTGATACCCTTCCCAGACAACTCTCCTACCAGAACCATCCTGTGAAGACACAGGGCCCAGTGCCTTCTGTCTCCAGTTATTTAGGCCTCACAGAAAGTAGAAAATCAACTTCCCTTTCCAGAAGGAATCAAAGCTCAACAGCACCAGCCCCCCAGCCCAGAATTCCAGAGTGAGGGCACTAGCACAAGGCTACCCTGCCTACCCAGCTGCCGCAGCCTGGGAAGCATGTGCAGTACAAACAGTCGGTAGTCAGGCTCATTCTTCACAACTGGGTTTAGCCGCAAGTCTACATCCTGGAGTTCAGTTAAGACGTGGAGCCGAAATACTTCCGCTAAGGAAGAGATGCAATTGTAGTAGAGGTTGAGACTCTCCAAGGAAACCAGGTACTGAATGCCCTGTTAACAGGAAGCATGCTCATCAGTTCATGCTTTAAAAAATAAACAGCAAAATAAGCCATCACTGATCAACTTAGATGCACTTACAATGAACACCTGCTGTTACCAGGAAAAGCTTAAAAACAAAAGGTGTTCTCATCTGTGAAGTTCTATGTTCTCCAAAGTGAAATAACCACACACAGATGTTTGAATGAATGTCTGTTAGTCTTAATGGTACTAAGCATAGCTACAATCTCCTGAGTCCTTAGTATGCCCCACATGAAGACATTCAGTTTCATTTATTCTGCACACAACTCATCAGCATCAGAACTATTAATGCTCCCATTTTACAGATTTGGAAACCAATGAGTCGGGAGCTGGAAGAACCAACATTGCGTGCAGCCAAGGTTGGAGCTGAAATCTGACTTGGCTGAGCTTCAAAGCTGTGTGTCAGGCATGGCCCATACACTGTCATGTTCTGGAGTTGCAGTGTCCTACATTTCTGTGAAGGCAAGCACCACCCTTCTGAATCAAGCTATAAGCAGAGTTTATACAACTTTCCCATTTGGGTCATGAGGGTGATTTCTGAATCACATCTGGACAGAATGGCCACCCATGGCCATGTTGCAACAAGTCCCAAGCCCATGGAAGGCTAGGTTAGAGCCAGAGGCTAAAGTCAGACCATACACAGATATGAAGCACAGAAACTGAAGGTGACAGGGCTGATAAGGGGATGGAGAGGTAGAAACACCCACATTTGCATCTTTGGGATCTTGTTTCACTCCCTTTAAAGAGAACCCATTTTCTTCAGAGCTAGGACTTTGGTCTTCAAAGTAGTTTAAAGATGAAATGTGATCTGTAAGAAAGCTAGCTCACAGTAGATACCAGTAAACAATACAATATTTATGCATCATTGTAAGTGTACAGCTTACAAGTGTTACATGCAGTTATAAAATATATTACGTTTATTGTGAGTTTACTTTCTACTGCTTATGCAGCAATAAATTTTCTTTTAAGAAACAAACCCAAAACTCACCTCTAGACTAACCAAAGAGTTGCGTGAAAGATCTAAAGACTTTAGACCTGTTAGATGCATCAGAGAACTTCCTAGATGAGTAATCTTCTCTTGATATGTTCCAGGAATAGATAATGACTGAAGTTCAGCTAATAACAGACAATTATAAGATTATAATCCTTTTAGATTGAAAATAAACAGTATAACAAAACTCCAAATTATTAGTTATAACAGATATGAAGATTATCTGACCAAACTGCTGTCAGGTCATTGAATCTTTTCTTAAGCCCATTTGCGTACTTCCTTGTAAAATCTAGTGTTATTTAAGAAGAACCTTCTTAAGTCACATTAGCAAGGACACCCACCCTCTATATCTACTCACCCTCAATACCTGTCCAGATTCCTCATTCTCCATCACCCTGGGCCTGTCTTCAGAAGACTCCCTCTGATTCCTCGTTTCCTTTTAGTAATTTTCCATTCATTGACTCCCCTCGCCCTCCTGACTTGGCTACAAATACAGTGTATTCAGAGTTGAATCCAATCCCTTTCCGCTACTGCAAAATTGCATTATGGCAGTCCTCATACCTATCCAAATAGTCCAGAACAGTCTCCTTTAGCATTCTTTAATAAATGCTACTAAATAATGTTTTCCTTTTGTACACAAATATAAAAAGGTCAAAAGGCATAAAATAAAACATTAACACATTTAATACATTTGGAATAACTCCTTTCATTTTCCTTATACATTTTTATATTTTCCATATTTTCTTAGAATAAGATATTATAACATAATCTGAAAGAAAATCAGTTAGCAAGTTCAAGCCCACTCTCAGCAACTTAGTCACTCATCAAAATTCTGTCTCAAAATAAAAATGGGGGGGCTGGGGATTTAGCTCAGTGGCAAAGCGCCTGCCTGGCAAGCGCAAGGTCATGAGTTCGGTTCCCGGTACCGGAGAAAAACCAAAAAAAAAAATAAAAATAAAAATAAAAATGGGTTGGGAATATAGCTCAGTGCAAAGGCCCTGTGTTTAATTTAACTTCCAGTATTGATGATGATAATAATAACAATTTATAATAATAATAATAATAATAGAAGAAGCAGTAGCAGAAGTTTGAATATTAACATTAAAGAGGGGCTGATTTTAAAGTTTCAGCTTATGTTTTCTCCAGTTTGACTCTAGCCCATTCCCTCCTTCAAGCTGACTTCCTCTGAGCCCTGATCCCAGAGCGTCCTCCTCTGGCTCCACCTGTACTCTTAATTAATTGCTCAGCTCCAGCCGTTCATGACCTCCACACAGAGACCACAACCTGAGATCACCAGCTCTACTTCATGGGCAGACATCAAGTGCTTGGCACAGCAGCTTGCCTCTACAAGGCACACTCAACGCACACTCATTAACTAACTGCCATTACAAAAAGTTTCTAAAATCAAAAAGACAGTTTGGGTCTGAATAAGCAAACACTATCCCAGAAACACTTATGTGTTAAAATAATTAATTTTACTACATAGTTTAAGGACTTCTAGTTCCAGATGCACTGCACTGTGTTCTTCTCAATTTAATACCAGGTACCCGGGCTGGGGATATAGCTCAGTGGCGTAAGTGCCCGCCTGGCAAGCACAAGGTCCTGAGGTCCATTCCCGGTACCAAAAAAAAAAAAAAAAATTGATGTAATACCAGGTACCCTAGACAGAAATGCACAAGACAGCACTGGACTTAGAGGGAGGGACAGAAGGCCGACTGTTCTGGGATCACAGGCCTCAGGAAATGACCAAGCATGTGTGCACACATGTGAGTATCTGCTGTATATTCCAAACTAAGCACCCAAAACACTCCAGAATCACCAAAGGACACAGACCTTGTCTGTTCTCTGTGGTCAGAGGCATAGGAGGGGCCAGGCAGGACAGACTCAGACATCAGCTTTACATCTGCTATGCCAGAGAACACAGGCCTCTGTCAGTAGACCTGACTTCTATCCCATGGTAGCATAGCAAGGGCTTCTGTTTCTGCAGCCTAGCTGTCAGCTCAGCAATAAGCCACACACACAGCAGGCTCTACTAGTGATGGAAGAGAGGTGAATAGGAAGTGGGGTCTCATAGTTCACAAAATGCTCACAATATGAAAAATGACCCTGAACCAGAAAAATCTCTATATGAATGAGAAAACACAATCAGTAGACACCAACAAGGGGCTGGGGATATAGCTCAGTGACACAGCACTTTTTTAAAATTTTTATTTATTTTTTTTTTTATTTTTTGTTTTTTCTCCGGTACCAGGAATCGAACTCATGATGTCACGCTTGCCAGGCAGGCACTGTGCCGCTGAACTAAATCCCCAGCCCCTAAAGTTCTTTTATTTTATTTATTTATTTTTTAGTGACACAGCACTTGCCTGGCAAGTGTGGGGTCATGAGTTCAATTCCTGGTACCAAAAAGAAAAAAAAAAAAGATATCAGCAATGAATGACAGGGAAGCCAGAACTGTTCTAACAAGGAGTTTAAAATAACTCATAAAATTACTTCAATGAGCAATTATGAATATTCTCAAAACAAATAAAAAACAGAATCTTGGCAGACAAACAGAAGATACAAAGAAGACTGGAGATTACAGAGGGAAAAAAATTCTAAAGGAGTGAACACATAGGCTAACTGAAACAGTCCAGTCTGGCCAATACAGAAAAAAAGACTATAAAAATAAGCAGAACTTCTGTGACCCATGGGAAAAAAGACCTAACATTCCTTCATAATATTCACAGCATTCCAACTGGAGCTTCAGAAAGAAACTCGCTTAGTCCCATGCCCAGCATCAGGGGCAAGATGTGAACTCCAAAGGGCTGGAATAGCCCTGCCCCTATGGCATCATTGGTGGTTGCAGCTCTCTTGTCTTCTCTCTTGGGCCAGTTTTTCTCATTCCTTGCAGCTTTCCTCAGATGGTTCACATTCCTTGGTTCTCCAACTTTCTGGGGTCTCCACTGCAGCTTCATACTCACAGCTTCATGGGGTACACTGCCTGGCCTTCCACGCCTTCTTTTGAAATCTAGGTGGAAATCTTCCTGATGCCACAACTCTTGCATTCTGCATGTGCCTAAAACCAGCACCACGTGGCTGACACCAGGGTCTGTTGCTAGCTAGTGTGGTAGCCAGGCTTTCTTTTCCCTTGGCTTATAGGGGCAGAGTGCCTGGATTGCTGAGCACTGTGACTCCAGTCCCAAACAACAAACTTTCTAGGCTGCTGCCATTCTGGAACATTGTGCTCTGGGGTTCTCTTCTCAAAGCAAAGTCTTTAATCTTTGCAACTTGAGGCTGAAAAAGGTATAATCATGCTGGTTCTTGTGATGCATTCATCTTTTCTATTGTCCAGTTTCAAAGAACTTGGCTTTTTAATGCTAATCCTTTCAGCCACCAAGCTCCCCTCTACTCCATCTTTACAGTGGGCAACTTTACTAGAGCTTTCTTTCTGGCAAAACTCAAAACTTTTAAAATCGTTCTGCTGGGCCCTTTGTTCTTGATTCTCAAGGTAGAGCTGGCTAAAAGCCCCCAATAGTAGCCATGCCACTGCGTCAGCATTAGACTACCTTGAAATTTATTTTGCCAGATTAATTACTTCACTGTCCTTACTCTCAATCTTCTGCAAAATCTCTGGACATGGGCAAAAGGTAGACAAATTTTTTACCAGAAGATAACACACATGTTCTGGAATCCAACTGCCAGTACAGTCCTTGTTCCCAACTGATACATGTTGGGCCTGGTCTTTTCCAGTAGCACTGTAGTCAACATTCTAGTCTTCTGAGCTCTGACTAGAATTTCCCATCAGGCTCTGCTCACAGCACTGTCAGTCTGCTTTTCCAGCCAGCCTCTCCAAACCTTTGCAAACTCTTCTCACAAGCCAGTTCCAAAAGCTTCTGAACAACATGGTCAGGTAGTGTCACAGCAATAACCCCACTTCTTGTACCAAAAGTCTGTCTTACTTTCTCACTGCTAGGACAAACATCCAACACCTACAAGTTAAAGGAGGAAAGGTTTATTTTTGCTTACAGTTTGTAGAAGTTTCAGTTCGCAGCTGGTTCCAAGGCAGGATGGCATGGTAGAGGGACAAGGCAGAGGAGAAACAGTTTATGGCGTGGCAGGAAGGAGGCAGGAAGCAACTTTCCTTCTTTCGTTCTCTTTTGATTCCATTCAGGCTAAAAGCCTATTGATTGGTGCCACCCACACTCAAGGGTGGGTGTTCCCATTATACATACCCAGAACTATGCTACACCAATCAATGGATTAATCCAGTATCACAAACTCTTAATGCAGTATCATATACCCATGATCCAGAGACTCCCAAAAGCCCCACCTATGAGCACATAAAGCTTAGGAGAACATCTAGATACAAGCCATAACAATGCTTCAACAAAAAAAGTAACCAGAGACAAAAAGGACCATATTATATGCTAAAGAGTCAGTCCCCCCAAAAGATAGGAACATCCTAAATGTGTAAGCACCAAATAACAGATCTTCAAATCATATGAAAAAAGACAGCAGACCTACTAGGCAGAAAATCTGCCTGGTTTAACAGATCACACCATCAGCCAAGAGGATCTAACTGATGTCAACACTTCACTCAGCCCAACACACATTCTTTTCAAGAACACAGGTAACATTCATCGATACAGACCAAATACTGTGACATTCAACAAACCTTCACAAATTTAAAGCAATTAAAATCAGAGTACTGTATATTTTATGATCGTAATGGAATTACACTAAAATCAATAATAGAAAGATAAGAAAATCTCCAAACACATGAAACTTTATAAAAATCACACTCCTAAATAATCCATAGGTCAAAGAAGTTGCAAAGGAAATTTTAAAAACAATTAAACTGAATGAAAATGAAAATATGATTAACAAAACTTAAGGTTACAGCTAACATAGTGCTTAGAGGGAAATTTACAGCACTAAGATAAGAAAGTCTCAAGTGAATATTTTACATTTTTGCCTCTTAAATCTAGAAAAAGAGCAAAATAAATGCAAATCAATCAAAAAGAAGGACAGAAAACGAGAAATGATTTAAATGAGAAATACAATGGAGAAAAGCCAACCCAAAAGCTGCCCTTCCATTAATGTTCAGCCAGGTGTTGTGCCACAAATCCATAATCCCAACACACTGGGAGGTTTAGACAATTCCAGTCTGGGCAACTGAGCCCAGACCTACTGAACAATTAGTGAGACCCTAAAGAATAAAGAATAAAGGGGCTGGGATATAGCTCGGTGCAAAGGCTGGCTGGGGTTCAATTCCCCAGTGTTGCAAAACAAACATACAAATAAAAATCAACATCTATCAATTTCTACCAATACTAAAAAACAGGACAAATTATCAGTATCACGCACAAAAGGAGGGCTATCGTTACAGACTCCAGTCATTACAGGCCAGTAAATGCATGCTATAAACAACTCTCCATTTGACAACTCAGATAAAATGAATCAATTTCGCAAAAACCCCAGACGATACTGACAATATAAACCGTCCTAAAACCACCACAGAAATAAATAGAAATCTCCACAACCATATAGTTTTGCTAAAAAATTCCATGAAACCGTCGAAGAAGTAACACAAGTTCCACAGAACCTCTTCTCAAAAACGAGATGCTACCAAAAACAGCCCCCAAAGAAAACCACCCATCGCCATCCTTTATGACCAGACGAAAATCCTCAGCGAAAACGGGTAAGCAGAGTTCTGAAGATGTGGAAGATGCTCGGGGCGGGAGAAGCAGGCACGCGGGGAGGGAGCTCCGACCCTCGGAGCCTTGCTCCCAAAACCAGAAAAGGGGAGCGAGGGGGGGCCAGGCAAGACGGCAGGGCTCGGGAGGGGGCCCCTCGCCGCGCCCTGCCCCCTCGCTGCCCACCAACTTCCCTCACGCCCTTCCCCCCCGCCG